AAAAATTAGCTGGGCATGGTGGTGCGTGCCTGTAATCCCAGCTACTCAGGAGGCTGAGGCAGGAGAATTGCCTGAACCCAGGAGGCAGAGGTTGCGGTGAGCCGAGATCACACCATTGCACTCTAGCCTGGGTAACATGAGTGAAACTCCGTCTCAAAAAAAAAAAAAAAAAAAATTAGAAAATTTATTACTGGAATAAATCTGAATAAATCCTCAAACAATTTTCAGATCAAATCAGGGCATATACATCTGTCTTCTGAGTAAGTGCTTATCTGAAATTTCATAGTGATCCTGAGTACTGAGAAGACAATAGCTACTTTAGAGGAAGTAGAAGCATACTAAGTCTTGCATGTTAACTGAAATGCTTTTTGACATGGAGTTTCACTTTTGTTGCCCAGGCTAGAGTGCAATGGCTCAGCTCACAGCAACCTCCGGCTCCTGAGTTCAAGCGATTTTCCTGCCTCAGTCTCCCAAGTAGCTGGGATTAAAGGTATCCGCCACCATGCCCAGCTAATTTTGTATTTTTAGTCGAGATGGGGTTTCTCCATGTTGGTCAGGCTGATCTGAGTATGTGCTTAGCCTTTAGCAATGCTTTAAAATATCCTTACAAGGAAATGAAAATGGTATAAAAGGGGCATACTTATACTTTCTGTACTAGAAAGGCATACACATATACCAGAACTCCAAAAAATAAGAATTTTTCTTCACCAATTATTTAAAAATAAAAGCAAAACCTCAATTGTATATGGTATTCATCCACAGAATTAATGTGGGTCCACAGAATGAGCAAGATATTCCTGCGACTTTTGTCAATGAAATGTAAATAGGAAAAATAGAATTCTCTGTAATTCTTATTAAATATATATTGAGCTAAAAAAGGTACCTTAAAAATTAAGTACTTATTTAAGCTTTCACATTATAATTTGTGAATATATATTAAATATTTTCCATATTAAAGCATTTGATCTTTATCTTTCTAACACGAAAAACTTCAGTATCCTAGTAACATTGTTCCGGTGTTAGCAAAAGTCAAGTTACTAGCATTAACTAGTTTCACAGTTAAGTTTTAACTACTATAGTCATGAATATACCCCTCAAGATCAGTCTTAAAAGTGTATTTTCCCACAATTAGAGTTATAGTAGAGAACTATTAAATATTTAAGTAAAGAAAAAATGAAGTTATACTGACATCTCATTACTTCTATAGATGATGAACTGCCAGATAAAGATACAGGAGATAAGTCAAGGCAATTATCTTGTATAGTATCCTTTAGTAGACTTGAGTTTTTCCATTGTTTTGATAATTCCTTTTCTGTTGCTGCACAGAAGACTTTCTGTTGTTTCTTTGGTAGCTTTAAAGTTTTGATTCTGGAATGGATATTCTCCTCCTAAATGTATCAATAACTTTCAAATTATACTCAAGTACAAATATTTACACTTGGACACATAAAACAAATTATATTAAAATATTTGTTAAATGTTGTATATTACCACATACAAGCATAACAAGGCCTTAGACATGAGTAGTGAAAGACTTTCTAATACACTAGAAGGCATAAGACAAATTCACAGGAAAATATAATACATTTACTATAATAAACATCTTAAGAGAAACAAATAACCTTCTTTGAGGGTTCAAAGAAGATTATATCTCCAGCTTAGGGAAATTAGAAAGAATTCCTAAATTTCATAGTATTTGAGATACTAAGGAGTTTGTGAAAGGAGGTGGAAAGGGGAAGACATACTGGGAACAGAGAAGACTTCGCAAGAACAAAGGGAGTTGAGAAGCACAGGTCTTATTGAGAGTCACGGGTTATACTATTTAACCGTTACATAGTTCCGGGCATACACTGGAAAAGGGTAGAAAAAAACTTGGAAAGGCATTTTGATGCTTTGAATGTCTGATAACAGAGATATTTTCAGCGTTTTCCCTTGAAGAGGGATAGGATGAGAGATGGCCTGGGAAGGCATATGACTATTTGTATGGTAAACATCCTTTAAGAAGTGATAGAAGGCCAGGTGTGGTGGCTCATGCCTGTAATCCCAGTACTTTGGGAGGCTGAGGTGGGCAGGTCACCTGATGTCGCAAGTTTGAGATCAGCCTGACCAACATAAAGAAGCCCCATCTCTACTAAAAATACAAAATTAGGCAGGTGTGGTGGCAGATGCCTGTAATCCCAGATACTTGGGAGGCTGAGGCAGGAGGAACCTGGGAGCCGGAGGTTGCTGTGAGCTGAGATTGCACCATTGTACTCCAGCATGGGCATCAAGAGCAAAACTCCATCTCAAAAAAAAAAAAAAAAAAAAGGAGGGGGGGAAGAAGTGATAGAAAGCTGGGGGTGGTAGCTCACGCCTGTAATCTCAGCACATTAGGAGGCCGAGTTGGGCAGATCATGAGGCCAAGAGATCGAGACCACGAGATCATCCTATCCAACATGATGAAACCCTGTCTCTACTGAAAATACAAAAATTAGCTGGGTGGTGGCACACACCTGTAGTCCCAGCTACTTGGGAGGCTGAGGCAGAAGAATTGCCTGAACCTGGGAGGCAGAAGTTGCAGTGAGCCAAGATCGCGTCACTGCACTCCAGCCTGGCAACAGAGCGAGACTTCTCTCCCTCACCTCAAAAAAACAAAAAGGTAGAAAATGTAGACATTAAGTTATGAAGTCTCTAAAGTCTTCTAGGTAAGAGGTAAGATTGCAAACAAGAAGAGATGAAAGTTTATGACTTCAAATCAGCACACTGTAATGGTCAGAAACCTATCTTCAGTGCCAGACTCTGGTTTCAAATCCTAGCTCTACCACTTTCTAGTTGTGTGACCTTGGGCAAATTCCTTCTCTTCGAGCCTCAATTTTCTCAGTTGTAAAATGGGATGACAATAATAGTGCTAATTACCTATAGTATTTATGATATTTTAAGAAGTTAAATATGTAAAGTGCTTAATACAGGAGTTGGCACATTGTAAGCACTACATATATATATAAATATACATATATATGTGTATATTTACAGTGATTACTATATATAGTAATATATATATTAAGTATATATATATATATACACACACATATATATATATATATTTTCCATAGTTATAAAACTATTGAATATTCAAGTAAAGAAGAATAATTATATATTGACATCTCATTACTTCTACAGATGATGGATTGCCAGACAAATGAATAAATACTTAACTTTGCCTTCAAGAACAGGTGACTGGGAATGTGTCTGGACATTGTGAGACATAGGAAGATGTCAGGGATGGGGACAGGTGGGCTAGTGTGTGGAAAGGACTTCAGACACCAAATTTTGCTTTCATTCAACAGCTATAGAGCTTCTCCATGCTATACTTTATTAAAGCCTAATTTTAGAAGATTAAGTACTTCATCATTTCAAACATACTATCATAAAGTTAAAATGTCACTAGATTCTGACATCTGTTTTATAACACACATGCCAACTTATTATAAAATTTAGCATTATATTGCCTAAGGGCAAATTTCTAGAATTATTAAGTTTTGTTGTATAGAAAGTTCACTCAAGTATAAATCCGACATTTTTTACAAAAATATGTATTTAGTATTTGAAGAGGCTTTTAGAAACTATTAATCAGAACTGAATCTATTTACCTTTACTAGCAAGTTCTCTTTAAATGAATGTGACAATTCTTCTTCACACTCTGATTCTGAATTTGAGAGATCTTTATAATTTTTTTTTGCTTTTGTTGCTCTTCGTGGAAGTCTTATTCTTCTATCTGGAACTGTCTTGTCCATTTTTTTGGTGATATTTTTACTGGGTGTCTTTAAGAGAAAAATTCCTGAATATTATTAGGGCAATATTTGAGGTACAAGAAATATAAGCAATTTGCCATAAAATTGGCATTGTGACAAACTCTGCATAAAATATTTGTAGAAATGATTCTTGACTAACATAGTTTAAATTAATGGATTTTATCTTCCCATTCTAGTTATCTTCTTTACTACCTCTTTATCCCTACCATTAAATCCCTGGGAAGCCTGATATATATTATCTAACTGAAGTAAAAGAGATTTAAAAAATATCTAAAAGCACAGAATAAAATGAATTCAAATAAAGGCCAATGTGATTTAAAAAAAAAAACAAATTAGGAGAAAGTGTGCAAAAGCAGGAACAAGTACATAAAATACATAACTGTTAACAAGGATAAAATTATATGATGATGAATTATTTTTATATTACATGGAAAAATAATTTTAAAGGGATGCTTGAGCATAAACTTCTTGGCTTACCATTTTAGATCTTGGTTGTCCCTTTTCCAAAGATGATCCTGCAATTCAGGAAAATAAGGTCACATTTTCACAATAAATAAGAATGGGCATTTAATGTATTAGAACATCATTTCTGCATTTTTTTATTTTTATTTTTATTTTTTTTTGAGATGGAGTCTCACTCTGTCTCCAGGCTGAAGTGCAGTGGCACGATCTCAGCTCATTGCAACCTCCACCTCCTGGGTTCAAGCAATTCTCCTGCCTCAGCTTCCCAAGCAGCTGGGACTACAGGAGCATGCCACCATGCCCAGCTAATTTTGTATTTTTAGTAGAGACTGGTTTCCCATGTTGGCCAGAATGGTCTCATGTTGGGATTACAGGTATGAGCCACTGCGCCCACCCTAAATTAAAATAATAAAAACAGTAAGTTTTTAAAGCATTTGTTAGCATTTAATAAGCTAATGTCCATGTGGCTTCAGGCCACCTGATACTGGCCCTCCTGATACCTAATCTTCCCCTCACCTCTTCTGCTGAAGAATTTGGCCTCACAATGACACACACTTTGGAAGCTTTTCTTTTCCCAGAACTTCGTAGTAGCCCAAATGAACCACATCTCTGATTGGAACCATCTTTAAACTCAATCAAAAATGTAATTTTCAAGAATTGATAACTTTTACTGTATAGTGTTTGGTATGATATGAATTGCCAGTTTTCCTTCCCCTTCTTTATTTTATACAACTTTTTAAACATAAAGAGAATATGTCAACATAAGTTATAAAGTTAAACACCTATTAAGTTAAACACCTATAAATCTACCACTCAATTTAAGAACCAGATTGTGGATAATGCTGAATCTACTTATGCATGCTCTCTTATACCATCCTCTGTGTCTCTTCTGCTAAAAGGTACTTACTGTCCTGAAATCTGTGGGTCATTTGTTTTAAAAACAAGTTTTATTACACAGATATGTATCTTTAAACAATACAATGAGCTTTATAAAATAATATCATGTCCTGTATAATATCCTATAATTTGTTTTCCATACATCACTATGTTAATAAGATTTATCCATATTATTGATAGCAGCTTTCGTCCCACTTCCCTTTTTTGCCTTTCAAGTATAATGTCATCTTTCCAAATAGTCTCTGAAACCTAAGAAATGAGATTATCCATGTCAAGGAAGCAAAGCTGTTTTGGAAGAAAGATCCTCTAATCTTGGCAATAAATCAACTCATATATATTAACTTGTAGTTACTCAATAATGTAAACAAAAGAATTCATGCAAAATTTCAATTTCAGAAGTTCAATTTTATAAATATTTAGTGATGACCATATTCCAGCCTAAAATGTCTTCCTGCGATCTCTAATCTTCTACTTAATGTTATAAATGTTTTTATTTGTACATCTTCCCACTAGACTGTAAGCTCCCTGAGGGCATGTAAATCTTATTAATCTTTGGTTTATAACACACTGCTTCAAGGTTCAAACCTAGCAATCTAGCCTCACCTTGGGCCATTTCTCTACAGATAGGATCTATGTGCCAACTACCTCAATACTGCATTGCCTGAATATACTATGCTATTCTATACTCCCCTCCCTTTTGTATATGATAATCCTGCTGCTTTACTTCCTGATGTTTCTGGTCGACCTCTCACCTAAATTTCAAGACTCAACTTCATTTCTAAACACATGCCAAAATTCACTTCTATTTTTAGGTCACTACTAGCTATTTTTATCTTGAAAAAAAAATAAAAGCTGATTCCCTTACTATACATTTAATTCACAAGCACAGAGTTAAGTCTTCTTTTAAAAATGCAACATATAAAATCTTTGTGTTTTAGCAAACTTGGAAACTGATGTTCAGCTATGAAAATGGTAATTCTCTCTAGCCAAAACTTATGCCTCAAACTTTACCAACTACTTCAAGAGATTCACTATCACAAAGAGAAAGCAAAGGAAAATACTTTGTGGAAAACTTAGGCCAAAAAAAAAATCTACAAGAAGATTGTTTCCTTTTGATACATTTTTGTGCATCTATATAAATTCCTAAAAAAGTATATGTGTTGGGTGCAGCAAGAAGATGGGATATTGAGTAGTAAAATACACACACACACACACACACACACACACACACACACACATAAATATAAGCTATATATATTTTTTATAGACACAAATGTAAATAAATGTATATATAGCTTAATGTCAAAGTCCAAGCCTTGGTCTTAAAGGTGTTGGGTTCATGAGTTCTTAGTACATTATTCACAATAATTAAATAACTGGTTAATGCTAGGCCATGAGTAGACAAGAGTCATGAGGCAAGGATTATGATAAATCATAATTTGTGTCCCTAAGGTCTTATTAAAAATAAAATTTAAATATAGCCATATTACCAAAATAATAAAACAAAAACATAAAAACTATAGTGTTTTGTCCTATCCATAAAAGTATATAGTAATGAATAGTCTAAATATGAAAATAAGCTTATAACCAATACAGCATTTTATATAATTAAAATAAATGGTAAAATCATTTGTAACATTTCTCTAAAAGATAATTTCTTACTTGATTTTCCACTTTTATGATTCTTCACATTTTTATTTCTGCTATAGTCTATTAGCTGTGGTTTTGATTTCGGTTCTGTTAGCCAGCTAATATCAGTCTTGCTGTCATCACATCTGAACTCTGTTTCAGTATCACTAAACAGATTTTTCTTTTTGTGATTTGTTATAATCTGTAAAAAAATGTTTGAAATACATGAAGAAATAATACATCTCATTATATGTCATGCAAGGTAAGTTAAACCAAAAAATAAAAATAAAAAAAACAAAAAAAAACCCATAACAGGAAAACTTGTCATTTTTTGACATTCTAATTTAAGAAGGCATTAATAACCTATCCAAGAAAGTCACTTGGAAATCCAGATTAGATACTGATATTTGTATTTTGGTGTTGATGTTGTTAAATCAAAGTTAAATCATAACAACTTACTTCCATATATATATCATATATAACCTAATATATCAAAAAAATAACTAAAGTTGTCATTTCTTAGATAATTACAAATAGCTGAAAGACCAAAAGAAAATTCTTAATAGGAATGTGGATAATTGCATAAATAAAAAATCAAATTTTTTTTGTTTTTGATAATCTTTAACATTAAAAATTAAGAGAAATGCTATTTCTAATAGACACACTGAGGTATTATAACTTACTTTTTTATCTTTTGTTTTGACAGAAGATTCAAGTTCATCATGATTCCTTAGACCTACCCTTAAACAAAAATAAGTATTAATTTAAAATTACCCTTTGGTAGACTGAGGCAGGCGGATCATGAGGTCAGGAGATCGAGACCATCCTGGTTAACAAGGTGAAACCCCATCTCTACTAAAAATACAAAAAATTAGCTGGGTGTGATGGTACATGCCTGTAGTCCCAGCTACTCGGGAGGCTGAGACAGGAAAATCACTTGAACCTGGGAGGCAGAGGTTGCAGTGAGCTGAGATAGCGCCACTGCACTCCAGCCTGGGTGACAGTGCTCGAGACTCCATCTCAAAAAAACAGAAACAAAAACAAAAAACTCTCCATACTTGTTTTCTTAAGGACGGACAATCAGACTTGAGTTTTCAGTCTTAAGACTTTCACTAATTAGCTATATTACTCTGGCCAAGCCACTTATCCTCTCTGACCTCAGTTATAAAATAACTATGTTGGATCAAAGAACTACTAAGTCTTTTCAGGTTTATGATCTAGGATATACAACTAATATTCAAAGTGAAGATAATTTGCATGTTAATTTAAAGAATAAATGCTAAAGTAATAGAATCATAACGGGAGTAATCATGACTAGCATTTTTATTAACTCTTCTAATTTATTAAAAAAAAAAACTCTTAAGACTGGAAGGAGGTATTTAAGAGAAAAAAAAAAGGAGATTGGAATATTTTAACCTAATAAAAACACCTACAATCTTACTGACTTATCCGCACAGGCTTCTTTAGCTGTAGCTTGAAATTCTTGGATCTATATTGTAAATAAACATTAAAAAAAGAGTTGTCAGTGTCAAAATAAGATAAAAATTAAAATAAACATAAAATCTAGTTTCGCTTCACAAAATTATAAGATTTGACATAAAATTAACTTTAACATTTGTATTTAAAAAGAAAACTAATACAATAGAGTACAAAAAAAATAAATAACAGTATTTTTCCATCAATAAGAAAGGTGATTTTCTTGGTAGTGAAATCCTTCTATCCCACGATTGCTTGTTTTTTTTCTACCTTATTCCAAAAAAAAAAAAAAATTGAAAAAAAAAAGCCACCTAAGTATACGTAGGCTGGTTATCCAAAATGTTATCACACATTTCTTAAAAATTTTAAAGTATATAAGGAGACACACATTAAAAACATACTATCTAATAGCTGCACGGTAAATAAAATGTAACTTCTGAGTAAATACAAAGTATCTATTGATTTTTAGCTTACTCCAAGTTTTATGACAGGGTCATCAGCTCCATTCAAATTAAAATTGTAAACATCATTCCTGTGAAAATGAAAAGAAATATTAGCTCCACTTAAAATAAATGCATGTAGCCTCTTCAAATATAAAGAAAATGAAAAATATTTACAAAAAATACTTACAATGGACATTCAGAAGTAACATTAACAAAAGTAGTCTTCAGTTTTCTGTAGCTTTTTTTCTGAACTTTTTCCTAAATACGAAAGAGGGTTATAGGAAATCATTAAATGGCTAACAGGTGTATGAAAAAATGCTCAACAGCATTAATCATCAGGTAAATGCAAATCAGAACTACAATGAGATGTCGGCCTGAGTTAAAATGGCTTGTACGAAAAAGACAGACAATAACAGATGCCAGTGAGGATGTGGGTCTCATACACTGTTGTTGGGAATGCAAATAGTGGTACAACCACCGTGAATAATAATGTGAAGCTTCCTCAAAACTAAAAATAGAACTACAATATGATCCAGCAAGTTACTGGTCTTATATCCAAAAGAAAGGAAATCAATATGCCAAAGAGGCATCTGCACACCCACATTTACTGTAGCATTACTGAAACCTAATTGTCCATCAATAGATAAATGCATAAAATGTGGTATATGTGTATATATAATGGAATATTATTCAGCAATAAAAAAGAATGAAATCCTGTCACTTGTAGCTACATGGTTGTAACTGGAGACCAAACTAAAGTGAAATAAGCCAAATACAGAAAGACAAATATCATATGTTCTCACTCACAAGTGGGAGCTAAAAAAGTGGATCACATGGAGATAGAGAGTAGAACAGTGATTACCAGAGGCCAGGAAGAGTAGGAAGGAGTAGGGGGAAATTAAGGGATTAAAAAGAAAGAATATAAATATATTACCAGTGAAATGTACACTTAAAAATGATAAAGATAGTAACTTTTATATGTATATTTTACCTCAACAAAAAAACTCGTACATTGCCTTACATGGCAAACAAATAATGTGCAATTAAATTGCTTTATATATTTTTCTAGTTGTGCTTCTGCTAATGTAAATCTGACATTTGTAACATTCTCCTTAATGTAAACTGAATAAAAATATATCCAAAAGAAATTAAATTACCACCCATAAAGATAATTGCACTCCTAGGGCCAGAAGCAGTGGCTCACAACTGTAATCCCAGCACTTTCGGAGGCCAAGCCAGGTGGGTCACCTGAAGTTAGGAGTTTGAGACCAGCCTGACCAATATAGTGAAACCCCGTCTCTACTAAAAACACAGAAGTTAGCTGGGTGTGGTGGCATGTGCCTGTAGTCCCAGCTACTTGGGAGGCTGAGACAGGAGGATTGGTTGAACCTGGGAGGCAGAGGTGGCAGTGAGCTGAGATCATGCCACTGCCCTCCAGTCTAGGGGACAGAGTGAGACTCTGTGTCAAAAAAAATAAAAAAAAATAAAAATGAAAAAAGATATCTGCGTTCTCTATTCATTGCAGTACTATTTATAATAATCAAAACATGGAAACAAGCTAAGTATTCACAGACAGATGAACAGATAAAGAAATTGTGGTACATGTATATATACCAAGAAATATATTCAGCCTTAAAAACAGGTTATCTTGAAATTTGCTATAACATGGATGAACCAAGAGGACATTATGCTAAGTGAAATAAGCCAGACAGAAAGAAAAATACTGCATGATCTCACTTATATGTGGAGTCTTAAAAATCAAATCCACAGAAATAAGAGAATAAAACAGAACAGTGGTCACCAGAGCATGGAGGTGGGGTTGGGGTGTGGAAATAGGGAGATCAAAGGATACAAAGTTGCAGATATGTAGGATGAGTAAGTCTAGAGATGGAATGCAGAACATGAGGACTATTAATAGTATGGTACTGTATAATACACAAACTGTATACAATACAGCATTATGTTAATTGGCTGTTGCACCAACCTATTATATTTGGGATATTTGCTAAGAGATTTTATGTGTTCTTGCCACATACACACAAAGATGAATGAATACATTAATTTGCTTGATTATAGTAACCATTTCACTATAACATGTTATCCACCTTAAATATATATAATAAAAAATATTCACATTTTCTAAAATACTGAAGACAAATACTAAAAACATAATGGAAAATATTGTAAATCTAATAAAATCCTTTAACCTTAATACTTACTGACATTGTTGTATAGAGATAAGTGACCTCCTTACTGGAATTCTACAAGCTAAATTTTGATGGTGCCAGGATCACAAAACAAGCATGCTTCTACTTTGTTTTGAACCCTCACTGGCTTTAAACTCTTAAATAGAAAACTTTGAGAGAGGCTAATGTTTATGTAAAATCTCACATAAAAGAGTCAAAAAGTTATCAATTAATTATATTGTTAGGAAAAAATATGTGTTAGATTATTTATACAGCCTATAACTAAAAATATATTCAACCAGATCTCAAATCAGTGAGGGCAGAAAAAAAGTTCAATAAAATAAAATTTAATAAATTATCAACTGTAATATATTTTATTAAAGAAATTTACTATGATTAAATATATAATACCACTAAATTGATTACTGATCAGAAATTATTAGACTAACTTAATATCTAGTAAATTAGAAATATTAAAACCTAAAATATTAATTTTATTTTGTGATTCGTCTTCAATTTATTTATTTTGGCTATTTTATATAGAAGTATTTGCATTATTTTAAAAAGCTTATCTCTCAGTATATTACTCCTCTGATCATTTATCTGACTTATCCTTTCCAATATGATTTTTACCAGTGCTTGCATACTTTATCTGTTGCATCTTTTGTGTGCTGTTACGGAATATGTAAAAATGAGCAAAGATGTTAAAGATAAGCAAAAGGTAGCAATGGTACTATAGAGGATATAAAGGTGAGCAAAATGTTACAGAAGATACAAAGATGATCCAAAATAGGTAAAATGTAGTGAAAAAATAGAAGAAAAAAAACCCCAAAGATTCTAAATAAAACTTTGGCAATTATATCTAATGATTTAGAAAAAGGAGACTGCAACATGACCGCATGCTCTTTATCTGAGAAATACAAGAATTTAACATTTAGAAATCAACTTAATGTAATTCACCTAAACAAAGCAAATAGGCACAGAAAAGCATTTGACAAAACATGACATCTGTTACTCATTAAAAATCTCTCAGCAAATTTGGATAAGAAGGGAATGTCTTTAACCTGATAAAGGGAATCTATGAAATTAACTATCGCATATATCATACTTAATTATGAAATACTGAATATTCTCCCACTAAGGTCAGGACCAAGACAAGAATGTCTGCTCTCACCACTTCTGTTTAACAGTGTGCTTGAGATTCTGGCCTGAAAAATAATGAGAAAAAAAAAAAAAAAAGGAATAAAGGATGTTCAAATTGGAAAGGAAGAAGTGAAACTCCCTTTATTCCCAGATAATATGATAGCTTACACAGGAAATCTGAGCAAATCTTGAAAATCTCCTAAAACTAATGAATGAGCAAGGTTGCTGGATACACCATCAGCAAGCAAGAATCAATTACATTTCTATGTACTTGCAACAAACTATCAGGAATTTAAATAAAACAATGCTGCTTACAGTAGCATAAAAGTGTGATACATAGACATAAATTTGACAAGATATATATAAGACCTATATTCTGAAAGCTATAAGACATTGCCAAAATAAATAAAAGCAGATGTAAATGAATAAAGATATGGTATTGAAGACTTGATATTGCTAAGGTTAAAATTCTCCCCCCAAATTGATCTGTAGATTAAACACAGTCTCAATCAAAATCTTCACACACTTTTTTGGTACAAATTGACAAGCTGATTCTGACATTTATATGGCTATGCCAAGCACCTAGACTAGTTAAAACAATTTTGAAAAAAGGGAGAAAGTTGGGGACACTAAACATTACCTGATTTCAAATTTTATAAAGCTACAGCAAGACAGTGTGGTACTGGAGTCAAGTTAGACAAACAGACCAAGGGAACAGGATAGAGAGTTCTGAACCAGACTCAAACATAAATGAAAACTTGGTTACTGACAAAGTTTAAAGCACAGTTCTGGGACAAAAACATAGCCTTTCAACAAATGGTTCTTAAAAAAGGGAATATCCATGTGCAAAATAAATGAACTTTGATCCACACATTGTACTATATACAAAAATTAACTCAAATTGAACAATAGTCCCAAGTGTAAAATCCCAAAACTATAATACTTCTAGAAGAAAACACAGGACAACATTTTTTGCCGTCTTGGGTTAGACAAAGATTTCTTGCACAAAATACCAGAAGCACATACTGGGTGAAGATATTTGCAAATCATGTATCTGATAAATAACTTTTATCAAAAATATCTAAAAACTCTCAAAATTCAACAATAAGAAACAGCCAAATACAAAAGGAACAGAAGATTTAAATAGACACTTAAAAAAAGAAAAAAACGCATGAGTAAAATAGCAAAAATAAATAATAATTTAAAAGGTACCAAAACATTCTATTATGCAGATTCAGAATTCTTGCCAAACAGGTTTTTGAGTCAGGGCAACTTGGAAAGTTTTCATAAAGAAGGTACAAAGCAACACTTGTAAAGAGGAATATTTTAATAATCAGATAAGAGGGTGAGAGGGCTTGCTGACTTAGTTCAAAGTTTTTTTGCAAACGGAAAAGAAAAAGAGAATACTTAGGAAAGACACTTCAGGAAACCTCAAGTTACCATGTTTCAGTTAAACATGACATGCCTAGAAAACTAAGAAACAAGACAATCTTTTAAAGGAAATAGTGAGCCAGTCTGTTTCCATTTAATTCAATAAGCAACAGGGACCAAAGAAAGATTTTCAACAAGAAAGTGGCATGATTGGAGCTGTGTCCTTTAGAAAGAAAAAAAGCTGATATTAAATGTAACGTATGGATTGACACAGATAAATACTAGAGGCAAAGAAAATTATTAATACAGAACGCCTATTGCAACAATCCAGGGATTAGAAATGAAAATCAAAACTAGGCTAATAGAGGAGTTGGCCTAGACAGGGGAGAAAACATTCAAGAACTTACAGAGGGTGAACTTCAAAACTTGAAAATATTAAATGGACACAGAGAGCAACTGTGAGGAATTAAAGATAATTTATGAGTGAGAACATGCATTGTCCTAATGCCCTCCTTCCCCTTGCCCCCCAACTCCGAAACAGGCCCTGGTATGTAATGTTCCTCTCCCTGTGTCCATGTGTTCTTATTCTTCAACTCCCACTTATGAGTGAGAACATGCAGTGTTTGGTTTTCTGTTCTTGTATCAGTTTGCTGAGAATGATGGTTTCCAGATTCATCCATGTCCCTGCAAAGGACATGAACTCATCTTTTTTATGGCTGCATAGTATTCCATGGTGTATATGTGCCACATTTTCTTTATCCAGTCTATCATTGATTGGCATTTGGGAGGGATAGCAGGGAGTTGGGGGATTGGAGAGGGACAACATTAGGAGAAATACCTAATGTAGATGATGAGGGGATGGATGCAGCAAACCACCATGGTACATGTATACCTATGTAACAAGCCTGCACTCTGCACATGTACCCCATAAGTATAATGAACAAAAAAGATAATTTATATCATCAGTCTAGATAAAGAGTAAAGGTTTTTTTTTTTTTTTTAAATAAAAAAACAAAACAAAACTGGAACTTCGGTAGGATCTAATTGTTAGGAGAGATGGGATCCATCTATTTAAAAAATACACACACACACACACACACACACACACACACACACACACACGAAAGATATACTGAATCATGTACCAAAAAGTAAAAACACTGTGCTCATATATGTAAAAGAAGCATTTTCTTTGAAAAACAGAAGGTTAGAGAGTGATTTTGAGTACTTGCTACTAAACCTGTTAGTGGTTATCATTCATTTAGCAATATTCTGAAAATGTCATATCAAATTCCATTTTACCACTATGCTGTTTTAGTGTTTATGGTCAAATACTGAGTTTGACTACAGATTTGGTGAAGTTAAGTAAAGGACACCTACCTTACTGAGTTGTACAACAGGTTTGTTTGAAAAACCACTGTAAAAAAAAGATTTTGTCAAAATTGAAAATGCAATTATCAATAGAATTTTTTCATAAGTCATTTTATATAAACCATATTTATGTCACTAAATTTATATTCAATGTAACAGTAATAGTCTGATTTTTTGTAACTTCATTCACAGTAAATAGAACCTATAATAGATCATTCAAAGCTGAATAATTAATGCAGCAGAAAGTGTGAATTTAAAACGAATGATTCTGCCATAAGAGTCATTTATTCATAACCTAAATAGTAAGGCTAAAATTAACTTAAATTTTAATTAACAAGCTGACAGTCTATAAATGGACATTTTGTAATAAAAACAGAATTAATCTTTAGAAATACTGCAAAGAATGTACTATTTACTACAAAAAACTCTCACATCCGGTTAATTTTTGTAATTTATTAAGCAATATACTTAAACATATTTAGTTTATCCATTACTAGATTCAGTAAGTATAATTCTAAAATGTCTGTATCCTAAAGATTTCTAAAATAGTATGTTGTGTTGATACATGTTTTTTGATCCTATATAAAAAGTAACTGGACAATAGAATGACAAATTTCAAATTTAGTTCCCTTCCTGTGTAATTTAAACACCTACTGTTTACACAAGTATTAAGTAACCACGTTTTCTACTGAAAAGTTACATTGTTTGAACCTATGTTTAAAATTAACTTTTAAGTTGTGTAAAATAACATATGTTAGAAAAATATTCATGTCTGAAATTTAAGAACACACCTGTTAGTCAAAGACTCCTTTAATTTTCTTGTAGACTTTATGTCATGTTTTGTTTCGTATTTTTTATTTATTTGGCTTATCAAGGATTCTGCTGCATCAGTAAATTCTTTCCCTTTTGACTTTTCTCTCTGAAAAAAAAATTATGTTATTTTTAAATGTTACCAGTTAACCTTCAAAGGAAAAATAAAGGCTGAAAAAAACTTTTAAGATAAATCTGGTTCTATTTATACCTACAAAGGGAAATAAAAAGATAATTATTTAGTAAGTTTGAGCTTTGTTAGGCATTAAAATAACCCAAAATAAATATTTTAACAGAACTGTATATTTTAAAAAATGTCTACATTTCTACGCATGAGAGTAAAAGACTAAAAAAAGAGAAGTCATGATAAACCTTTAATCCAGTTAAGAAGAAAAAAACAGAAATTACTATCAGATATGAAAGAAGGGCCATCACTGCTGATCACACAGACATAAAAATGATAAGTCAGTATTATGAACTCCATGCCCACAAATTTGATAGGCTAGATGAAATGGACCAATTCCTCGAAAGACACAATCTAACAAAACTTACGCAAACAGAAACAGATCATCTCACTAGGCCTTTATCTATTAAAGAAATGGAAGGAATATTTGATATGCTACCAAAACACCAGATAAGAGTTCACTGGTGAATTCTATCAAACATTTAAGAAAGAAATTATGCCAATTCGTCACAATCTTCTAGAAGATAGAAGAGTGGGAACAACTTCCTAACTTAGTCTAAGAGGCCAGTATCTCCTTAATACCAAAACCAAAGACATTATAAATAAAACTACAAACCAATGTCTCCCATAAACACATACACAAAATTCCTCAGTATCAGCAATATCAGTATCAAATCCTACAATGTATTAAAAGAATTATGAACCTATGATCAAGTGGAATCTATTCTAGGTATGCAAAACTGATTCAACATTTGAAAATTAATATACTCGAACATATCAACAGGCTAATTTAAAATTGTATCAATTGATTCACAAAAAGCATTTGAGAAAATCCAACACATATTCGTGATAAAAACCCTTAGCAAACTAGGAATAAAGAGAAATATTCTCAGCTTGATAAAGAACATCTACAAAAACAGTTTCAGGTAACATCGCAGTTAATGTTGAGAAACGAGATGCTTTTCCTGCCAAAATCGGAAACATGGCAAAAATGTTCCCTCTCATTGCTTATTTTAAACATTGTTCTAGAAGTCTTAGCTAACACGATAAGACAGAAAAAGGAAATAACAGGTATACTGATTGGGAAGGAAGAAATAAATCTGTCTTTGTTCACAAAGGACCTCATTGTCTGTGTAGAAAATCCCAAAGAACTAGCAACAAAACGACTGAAAGTAATAAGCAATTATAGCAAGACTGCAAAATACAAGGTTAATATACCAAAGGCAACCACTTTCTTGTAAACTAGCAATGAACAAGTGGAGTTTGAAATTAAAAGCACAATATAATTTACCTTAGCATGGCCGAAAGAAATATTTATATCTAACAAAACATGTACAAGAGAAAAACTACAAAACTCTGATGAAAGAAATCAAGATCTAAATAAATGAAGAGATATTCCACATATATGAATAGAAAGCTCAATACTGTCAAGATGTCAGTTCTTCCCAACTTAATCTATAGAGTTAACACATTCCTAGTTGAAAGAACAAACAGAGCACAGGGGAGTTACACGGCACTGAAGCTATTTTGTGTAATACTGTAGTGGTAGATATGTCACTTCACTACATATTTGTCAAAACACACAGAATGTACAACAAAGTGTGAAGCCTAATGTAAACTAAGCACTTAATAATCATCATGTATCAATAATGATTCATCAGTTCTACTAAATGTACCACATTGATGCAAGATGTTAGTAACAGGAAAATGGATAAATGGGTGTATGAGGAATAGCTGTACCTTCTACTCATTTTGGGGACTAAAATTACTCCAAAAATAAGTTTTTTAAAAGTAGGAGGACTACAAAATAAGAATTATTCTCAGCATAATTTTAGATAACTTAGTTTTAATAAACTCTCATAGTATCCTTAAAGATAATGAGTTCTCCTCATTTTATATTTACTTTTCTCTAGTTATCAGGCATGTAGGTTTTTTAATTAAAGCAAAATACACAAAACTCTAATAAACACAAAATGTACTATTATAACCATTTTTAAGTCTTTTTTTATATATACATATATATTTTATTGCACTTTAGGTTCTGGGGTACATGTGAAGAACATGCAGGATTGTTGCATAGGTACATACATGGCAATGTGGTTTACTGCCTCCATCCCCATCACCTATATCTGGACTTTCTCCCCATGTTATCCCTCCTCAACTCCCTACCCAACGCTGTCCCTCCCCTAGTACCTGCCAACATACCCCAGTTTGTGATGCTCCCCTCCCTGTGTCCATGTGTTCTCATTGTTAAACACCAGCCTATGAGTGAGAACATGTGGTGTTTGATATTCTGTTCTTATGTCAGTTTGCTGAGAATGATGGTTTCCAGGTTCATCCATGTCCCTACAAAGGACATGGACTCATCGTTTTATATGGCTGCATAGTATTCCATGGTGTATATGTGCCACATTTTCCCTGTCCAGTCTATGATTGATGGGCATCTGGGTTGGTTCCAGGTCTTTGCTATTGTAAACAGTGCCACAATAAACATACGTGCACATGTGTCTTTATAACAGAATGATTTATAATCCCTTGGAATATATACCCAGTAGTGGGATTGCTGGGTCAAATGGAATTTCTAGTTCTAGGTCCTTGAGGAATCGCCACACTGTCCTCCACAGTGAACTAATTTACACTCCCACCAACAGTGTAAAAGTGTTCCTATTTCTCCACATCCTCTCCAGCATCTGTTGTCTCCAGATTTTTTAATGATCGCCATTCTAACTGGTGTGAGATGGTATCTCAATGTGGTTTTCATTTGTATTTCTCTAATGACCAGTGATGATGAGCATTTTTTTCATTTGTTGACCTCATATATGTCTTCTTTTGAAAAGTGTCTGTTCATATCCTTCACCCACTGTTGAATGGGTTTGTGTTTTTCTTGTAAATCTGTTTTAGTTCTTTGTAGATTCTGGATATTAGCCCTTTGTCAGATGGGTAGATTGCAAAAATTTTTTCCCATTCTGGGGGTTGCCGGTTCACTCTAATGATTGTTTCTTTTGCTGTGAAGAATCTCTGGAGTTTAATTAGATCCCATTTGTCTACTTTTTCATTTGCTGTCAACGCTTTTGGTGTTTTAGTCATGAAGTCCTTGCCTATGCCTATGACCTGAATGGTTTTGCCCAGGTTTTCTATGGTGTTAGGTCTTATGTTTAAGTCTTTAATCCATCTGGAGTTAATTTTAGTGTAAGGTGACAGGAAGGGGTCCAGTTTCTGCTTTCTGCACATGGCTAGCCAGTTTTCCCAACACCATTTCTTAAACAGGGAATCCTTTCCCCATTGCTTGTTTTTGTCAGGTTTGTCAAAGATCAGATGGTTGCAGATGTGTGGCATTGCCTCTGAGGCCTCTGTTTTGGTACTAATACCATGCTGTTTTGATTACTGTAGCCTTGTAGTATAGTTTAAAGTCAGGTAGCGTGATGCCTCCAGTTTTTTTTTTTTTTTTTTTTTTTTTTTGCTTAGAATTGACTTGGCTATGTGGACTCTTTTTTGGTTCCATATGAAGTTTAAGGTAATTTTTTTCCAATTCTGTGAAGAAAGTCAATGGTAGCTTGGTAGGGGTAGCACTGAATCTATAAATTACTTGGGGCAGTATGGCCACTTTCACGATATTCTTCCTAACCACGAACATGGAATGTTTTTCCATCTGTTTGTGTCCTCTCTTATTTCCTTGAGCAGTGGTTTGTAGTTCTCCTTGAAGAGGTCCTTCACATCCCTTGTTAGTTGTATTCCTAAGTATTTTAGTCTCTTTCTGGCAATTGTGAATGGTAGTTCATTCTTGATTTGACTCTCTTTAAGTCTGTTATTGGTGTATAGGAATGCTTGTGATTTCTGTACATTGATTTTGTATCCTGAGACTTTGCTGCAGTTGCTTATCAGTTTACAGAGATTTTGGGCTGAGATGATGGGGTCTTCTAAATATATAATCACGACATCTGCAAACAGAGACAACCTGACTTCCTCCTTTCCTAACTGAATACCCTTTATTTCTTTTTCTTGCCTGATTGCTCTGGCTAGAACTTCCAATATTACATTGAATAGGAGTGGTGAGAGAGAGCATCATTGTCTAGTGCCAGATTTCAAGGGGAATGCTTCTAGTTTTTGCCCATTCAGTATGATATTGGCTGTTGGTTTGTCGTAAATAGCTTTTATTATTTTGAGATACATTCCATCGATACCTAGTGTCTTGAGAGTTTTTAGCATAAAGGGCTGTTGAATTTTGTCGAAGACCTTCTCTCCATCTATTGAGATAATCATGTGGTTTTTGTCTTTGGTTTGGTTTTTGTCTTTGTTTCAGTTTATGTGGTGAATTACGTTTACAGACTTGTGTATGTTGAACCAGCATTCCATCCCCAGGATGAAGCCTACTAGATCATGATGGATAAGCTTTTTAGTGTGCTGCTGCAATCAGTTTGCCAGTATTTTATTGAAGATTTTTGCATCGATTTTCATCATGGATATTGGCCTGAAGCTTTCTTTTCCTGATGAATCTCTACCAGGTTTTGGTATTGGGATGATGTTGGTCTCATAAAATGATTTGGGAAGGATTCCCTCTTTTTGGATTGTTTGGAATAGTTTCAGAAGGAGTGGTACCAGTTCCTTTTTATATGTCTGGTAGAATTTGGCTGTATCTGGACCTGGGTTTTTTTTTTTTTTTTTGGTTGGTAGACTATTAATTGCTGCCTCAACTTCAGCCCTTGTTATTGGTCTATTCAGGGTTTTGACTTCTTCCTGGTTTAGGCTTGGGAGGGTGCAAGTGTCCAGTAATTTATCCATTTCTTCCAGGTTTACTGGTATACGTGCATAGAGTTGTTTGTAGTAATCTCATGGTAGTTTGTATTTCTGTGGACTCTGTGGTGATATCCGCTTTATCATTTTTTATTGCATCTATTTGATTCTCCTTTCTTTTTCATTGATCTGGCTAGTGGTCTATTTCGTTGATCTTTTCAAAAAAACAGCTCCTGGATTTATTAATTTTTTGAAGGGTTTTTGTGTCTCTATCTCCTTCAGTTCTGCTCTGATCTTAGTTATTTCTTGTCTTCTACTAGCTTTTGAGTTTTTTTTAATCTTGCTCCCCTAGCTCTTTCAATTGTGACGATAAGGTGTCGATTTTAGATCTTCCCTTGCTTCCCATGCGGGCATTTATTGCTATAAATTTTCCTCTAGACACTGCTTTAAATGTGTCCCAGAGATTCTGGTACATTATGTCTTTGTTCTTGTTGGTTTCAAAGAAGATCTTTATTTCTGCCTTCATTTCATTGTTTATCCAGTCATCATTCAAGAGCCAGTTTTCAGTTTCCATGAAGTTGTGGAGTTCTGAGTTAGTTTCTTAGTACTGAGTTCTAATTTGGTTGCACTGTGGTCTGAGACACTGTTATGATTTCCGTTCTTTTGCATTTGCTGAGGAGTGATTTACTTCCGATTATGAGGTCAATTTTAGAGTAGGTGTGATGTGGTGCTGAGAAGAATGTATATTCTGTAGATTTGGGGTGGAGAGTTCTGTAAATGTCTATTAGGTTTGCTTGGTCCAGATCTGAGTTCAAGTCCTGGATGTCCTTGTTAATTTTCTGTCTCATTGATCTTTCCAATATTGACAGCAGAGTGTTAAAGTTTCCCACTATTATTGTATGGGAGTCTAAGTGTCTTTGTAGATCGTTAAGAACTTGCTTTATATATCTGGATGCTCCTGTATTGGGTGCATATATATATATATATATATATATTTAGGATCCTTAGCTCTTCTTGTTGCATTGATCTTTTTACCATTATGTAAAGCCCTTGTCTCTTTTGATTTTTGTTGGTTTAAAGTCTATTTTATCAGAGACTAGGATTGCAACTCCTGCTTTTTTTTTGCTCTCCATTTGCATGGTAAATCTTCCTCTATCCCTTTCTTTTGAGTCTATGTGTATCCTTGCACGTAAGATGGGTTTCCTGGATACAGCACACCAATGGGTTTTGACTTTTTATCCAATATGCCAGTCTGTATCTTTTGATTGGGGCATTTAGCCCATTTACATTTAAGGTTAATATTGTTATGTGTTAATTTGATCCTGCCATTTTGATGCTAGCTGGTTGTTTTCCCCATTAGTTGATGCAGTTTCTTCATTGTGTCAATGCTCTTTACCATTTGGTACATTTTTGGAGTGGCTGTTACTGGTTGTTCTTTTCTATGTTTAGTGCTTCTTTCAGGAGCTCTTATAAGGCAGGCCAGGTGGTAACGAAATCTCTGAGCAATTGCTTGTTTACAAAGGATTTTATTTTTCCTTCACTTATGAAGCTTAGTTTGCTGTATATGAAATTCTAGGTTGAAAGTTCTTTTAAGGATGTTGATTATTGGCCCCCACTCTCTTTTGGCTTATAAGGTTTCTATCAAGAGATCCACTGTGAGTCTGATGGGCTTCCTTTTGTGGGTAACCTGACCTTTCTCTCTGGTTGCCCTTAGCATTTTTTCCTTCATTTCAACCCTGGTGAATCTATTATGTGCCTTAGGGTTGCTCTTCTTGAGGAATATCTTTCCGGTGTTCTCTGTATTTCCTGGAATTGAATATTGGCCTGCATTGCTAGGTTGGGGAAGTTCTCCTGGATAATATCCTGAAGAGTGTTTTCCAGCTTGGATTCATTCTCTCTGTCACATTCAGGTACACCCATTAAACATAAATTAGGTCTGTTCACATAATCCCATATTTCTTGGGGGCTATGCTCATTTTTTATTCTCTCTTCTCGAATCTTGCCTTCTCATTTTATTTCATTGAGTTGATCTTCAATCTCTGATATCCTTTCTTCTGCTTGGTCAAATTGGCTATTGAAACTGGTGTATGCTTCGTTAAGTTCTTGTGTTGTGTTGTTCAGCTCCATCAATTCATTTATATTATTCTCTAAGGTATTTATTCTTGTTAGCATTTTGTCAAACCTTTTTTCAAGGTTCTGTTTCTTTGCATTGGGTTAGAACATGTTCTTTTAGCTCAGAGAAGTCTGTTATTGCCAATTTTCTGAAGCCTGTTTCTGTCAATTCATCAGGCTCATTCTCCATCTAGCTTTGTTCCCTTGCTGGTGAGGAGTTGTGATCCCTTGGAGAAGGAGAGGCATTCTGGGCTTTGGCATTTACATCCTTTTTGTGCTGGTTTCTTCCCATGTTTGTGGATTTATCTACCTGTGGTCTTTGTAGCTGGTGACTTTCCGACGGGGTCTCTGAGTGGACATCCTTTTTGTTGATGACGAAGTTATTTGTTTTTTAGTTTTCCTTCTAATAGTCAGGCCCCTCTGCTATAGGACTACTGGAGGTCTACTCCAGACCCTGCTTGCCTGGGGATCACCTGCAGTGACTGTAGAACAGTAAGGGTTACTGCCAGTTTCTTCTTCTGTTATCTTTGTCCCAGAAGGATACCCACCAGATGTCAGCCTGAGCTCTCCTTTATGAGGTCTCTTTGGATATACAGGGGCCGGGGAGCTGCTTGAGGAGAGTTTGTCCCTTATAGGAGCTCAAGTGCTGAGCTGTGAGCTCCACTGTTCCGTTCAGAGCTGCTGGGCAGGTACATTTAAGTCTGCTGCAGCAGAACTCATAACCGCTTTTTTTCCCCAGGTGTTCTGTCCTGAGAAGGTGGGGCTTTATAAGTTCTTGACATGCTGCTGCATTTTTTCATAGATGCCCTGCCCAGTGAGGAGGTAGCCTAGTCAGTCTGCCAGCAGAGGCATTGCTGAGCTGACATGGGCTCTGCCCAGCTGGTGTGTGAATTTCCTTGAGGTTTTTGTTTATAGATGTATAGTTAGAACTGCCTTGGTAAGGGCGGTCTGCCTCAGTAATGGTGGACTGCCTCAACAATGGTGGATACCCTTCCCCCCACAGAGCTGGACCGTCCCAGGTCCAGCTGTGCTTGCTGTGAAACTCTCAATCCAGAGCATTTCAGATTGCTGGTCTTTGTGGGGGTGGGACCCGCCAAGCCAGATCACCTGGCTCCATTTCAGCACCCCCTTTTCTTTTCAGTTGAATGAGTGACTCTCTCCCAGGCGCTCTAGGCAACAGTTGAAATGGCACCAAGATTTGTGTGAGTTTTTGTGTGGAGACCTACTGCACTAGCTGAAACGGCCATGCTGAAGACTCGTGGTGTTTTCCACCCAGGAATCTTCTGGTCTGTGGGCAGTAAAAATTCGTTTGGAAACGCGGTGATCACTCACCCTGTGTTCTCGCTGGGAACTGCACTTCAGAGCTGTTCCTATTCAGCCATCTTCCCATATGTTCTTATACATAACAGGTAGTAAGTTATTACTTAAAGTCTCCTTAAGATTAGAGTGCAGTCATGGTTTACTTGTCTTGATAGAAATGCAGCAAAAATGAACCTTCTCTAAAATACTGTATGATTTCAGAAATTCCAGTATCATTGGAGCCAGCCTAGGAAATCTGTGCCGCTGAACTAAGAAGGTTGCTCTGGGGTGACCCAGTAAGTAGAAAGACAGTATCAGATAGATGACTACCTTAGAAGACAGAGATCCATGGAACTGGTGGGAAATTCTACAGAGGGACACAGGTAGGGACGCTATGAAGAACGGAAGACAATTTCTGAAAAGAGCAAGTCGATTTTTTAAAAATCAAGAGCACAGCCTAAAAGATTAGGTTTTATGCTCCCAGAAAATAAATGAATAGCTCAGAGAAATTATGTGAAATTATTCTAAATACCAAAGAAAGCAATTTAAAATTTAAATTTAAAGACAGATCTGTGTTTGGACAAAAAGGACCTTATTTCCCCTGGGACTGAGGAAGTAAATAGTAGCTAAGATAAGAAAGAGAAAATAACATATTAGGAACTAAGCAAAAAGGGACCCAAAGAATATGATTAAAGAAAACAGCCAAACTATGAACAGAAAGTGAGTTTCACGTTTAAAAAAGTTTTTTAAAGGACGCTGGTCAAGACAAATTAAATAATGTCTAATTATACACAATTGCAAATTATCTCTTAAATATCATTTGCACATTGAGATGCTCCATTGTGTGAACATTTTACACTGACTCTAGAAATTTGGTTACCCAGGTATCAGCATTACTACAAAAGATAAATGAAAATAAAAGCCTACAAAACCTGGATTATTTTAGAAACATCAAAAAGCAGATTGCATTACTTGCAATGGAAATTTATTCTAATTTAACAATTTTTCTTAATCTGCATTTTGATAGTTATGAAAAAAATGATTTACCCATAACTGTTACAAAAAGTAAAATTTTCTCCCCTGGAAGTCTGGTGGCAAAGCAGCTATTGTCTTAGAGATGTTCTCCAGAGATGATTAATCTGAAAATGAAAGTGGGAGCTCTAATAATGATGAGTAACAGTTACAACAGAACACAGTCTCTTCCAACTCATTTACACACTTTCTTGCAAAACCTTGTCAAGGTTAAATGCATTCATCCAAAAATACTTGAGCTGCTACTGTGTTTTAAGGCTGTGCTAGGATGCGCAGGAAAATAAATGTTGAATAAAAGTCTATGGTTATAGTCCAAGAGGGAAAAAACCAAAATAACCATTTATTAAAAAGTAAGAATTATAAGAGATGTACAAACAGTTCTATATGCATATTTGAAAGGAAAGAGTGGGAGGAACTCAAAAAGAAGAGATAGGAACTGCATGGTTCATTAATTCTACACATATTTTACATGCCTGATACGTGCCTCGTATTGTTCTATCCAAGCTAGGACTAGGGAGAGGTGAGGGAGGACTTTAAGGAGGAATTCTCAGAGTCTGGGCCCTGAATTAGAAAACAAGGTATTACACATGTTAAATATGTAGCAATTAATCAAGCTTGCTTTCTTCCTTATGTTATCAAGTAGGCATCTTATGGGTATGCAGAAAGCAAAGCACATTGAAAGCTCACCATTTTTTTTTGTTTCAAATCCCAGGAATTAAGTTCGGAAGTCAATTCTTTCTCTGCTTTTCTATGACTTTTCACATTTTTGCTAGTGGAAGGATTTTTATCACAAGTAGCAGTATTCACATCTTTTGACAATATGCATTTCTTCCTATAAATCAGCGATTCTTCAATTGTCTTATTTAAGAGAACTGATTTAAAAGTAGTTTCAGATTCAACAGGCCAATCACTCTGCTTGATATTTTCAGTATTTTTCTGCTCTGAATATTTAGGATGATTTTGTTGTTGACTGTGTTTTTTGCAGTCTTCAACTTCTGCTTTATCTATTTTGATATGGTCGGTTCTTTCTTTCTTATATTTTACTTTTGCTGTTTCTTCAGAATTATTATCAGATATTGAAGAGTATGATTTTTGTTTAGGTTTTTTATTTATAACAATATCTAATGGGGAAAATGAGAAATTGTTATTAAATTAATAAGTTGACAATATGTAAAATTTGTTCAATTTATATGATTGTTAGACATTTGAGAAAATTAACACTGAACTATTACATACAGATAAAACTGTAAGTTTTACCTTGATTAAAGGTGTCTCCTGATGAAATACTTGCTCTTTGGTTACTACATAGTTCAATGTTTGTTACAGGTGTCCAACATGCCCATTTGCTGTGTATTTTATTTCCATAGATGTTGTCTAAAACACCAGGTAATCTAAAAAATGAATTAATTTTCTTAATATGTTAACAAAACATTAGCCTATGACTTTCAGGCCTTGATTTTTAATGTAGTCAATGTTTACCGAAGGAAATGTATTATATGTGTGTAAATAATGCATAAATACATCTTATCTTACATGTTCTACTGTATATTTAAACTAAGTTTCTACAGATGTATTGTTTATACATTTTAAAAATTTCATTCACTTTATGTCTCTCAACTTGAAAAGTTATATTGGTCTATAAGGGAGGAAAAAACAAACATATACATCATTCTCCATTGTGCTGTCATAATAACACTTGGGAGATGATTAATGCTATATTCTAAATTTAAAGTCCTTTTCCTTCAAATCAGTTATATACACTAAAAAGGGCATTGATAGATACTAAATGATTTGATGATTTTCTCATACTTACGTAGAATGATCTCTTTTTTCCACTGCCTGTGAATCAGGTATAACATCCTGGAGTTCATCTAAGTAAAAAAATTCAATAATGTTTTCATTTTTTTCATGCAGTTGGCAGAAGGGTTAGTATCTAAGTCTATAAAAGTTCACATATTGGGAGGAATGGATTGATTTTGCTTCGTCTCTCAGACCCAAACTTCTGGGGAACAGAGGTTGTGTATTTCCTTGTAACCTCAAAAGTTCCTTGCACAAAGCCAAACAAATTCTTTGTACATCTTTTCCTTTTTTTTTTTTTTTCCAAGACAGAATCTTGCTCTGTTGCCTAGGCTGGAGTGCAGTGGCTCCATCTCGGCTCACTGAAACCTCCGCCTTCTGGGTTCAAACAATTCTCCTGCCTCAGCCTGCGGAGAAACTGGGACTACAGATGTGTGCCACCACGTCCGGATAATTTTTTGTATTTTTAGTAGAGATGGTGTTTCAGCACGTTGGCCCAGACGGTCTCGACCTCCTGACCTCACGATACACCCACCTCCGCCTCCCCAAGTGCTGAGATTACAGGCATGAGCCACTGCACCCAGACAAATCAATGAAAGCCAGTGGGGTTAAAGGAAAATACAGGAAAAGTATATATATTAAAAAAAAAAAAAAAAAAAAAAAAGAAGGACTAAAATCAAACCACAAGTTACTTACTAAAATTTTGGTTCGGGAATTCAATGTTCTTATTTTCTGTGTTTTCTATACATTTAGTGGTTTTAACATGCTATAAACACAGGAAACATGTTAATGTAAACTTGAATTAAGATGTTACATGAAAACAACTTAAACATCAACGTATTAAGGTCTGAGTCTTTTAAAATAAATCTGCTTTGCTATGAAAAATTGGATATTATTTTCATGTATTTCATAAATGTTATGTCCATTTTTGAAAATTCTCCATCCTAAAACACAAGAAAACTGTCACTACTGACAAGGAGGCAGATGATCACATACATTTTCTGATCACATCCACAGCTAGCATAATAATTCAATTTTTATCTGTAACTGACAATTTCTAGATTCTCCATGACAAATCTTTCCTGTTGCTATTGGTTACACAGCCTGCTTTATCGATTTTGATATGGTCTGTTCTTTCTTATAGTTCACTTTTCCAGTTTCTTCAGAATTATCAGATATTGAACAGGATGATTTTTGTTTAGTAATTATTTACAACAATATCTATTGCACTGCCCAGGTAAATTCTTTCCTACAGCAAGCTTCCCTATTTCCATAGCCAGAGATACACACTTAATCCAAATCAAATACAAATCTGCTACTATTATCAGAAAATAAACCCTTTAGTCTAAGATATTTTGCCTCATCCTGGCTGCCTTTCCTTCTTACTCTAGCCAATGATTCTCCACACTGGGAGGGGAACATTATGGAAATACGCAGGTGTGGTTTGGGTTGTCACAACGACAGAGGGATTCTCCTGATAATAGGTAAGCACAATCCTAGCTAAGAGGCTTATCATCTTACAACATTTAGTACCATGCGATACAACTAAAAAATAATCTTTTTATTATACTTTTAAGTTCTGGGGTACATGTGCAGAACATGCAGGTTACATAGGTATACACGTGCCACGGTGGTTTGCTGCATCCATCACCCCACCATCTACATTAGGTATTTCTCCTAATGCTATCCCTCCCCTAAGCCCCACTCCCTGCTATCCCTTCCCAGCCCCCCAACCCGACAGGCCCCAGTGTGTGATGTTCCCCTCCCTGTGTCCATGTGCTCTCATTGTTCAACACCCACTTATGAGAACATGCAGTATTTGGTTTTCTGTTCTTGTGTCAGTTTGCTGAGAATGATGGTTTCCAGCTTTATGCATGTCCCTGTGAAAGATAGGAACTCATCCTATTTTATGACTGCATAGTATTCCATAGTGTATATATGCCACATTTTCTTTATCCAGTCTACCATTGATGGGTATTTGGGTTGGTTCCAAATCTTTGCTATTGTGAACAATGCAGAAATAAAGACGTGTGCATGTGTCTTTATAATGGAATGATTTATAATCCTTTGGGTATATACCCAGTAATGGGATTGCTGGGTCAAATGGTATTTCTGTTTCTAGATCCTGGAGGAATCACGTACTGTCTTCACAATGATTGAACTAATTTATACATCTACCAACAGTATAAAAGCATTTCTATTTCTCCACATCCTCTCCAGCATCTGTTGTCTCCAGATTTTTAAATCATCACCATTCTAATTGGCATGAGATGGTATATCAGTGTGGTTTTGATTTGCATTTCTCTAATTACCAGTGATGATGAGCTTTTTGTTATGTTTGTTGGCAGAATAAATGTCTTCTTTTCAGAAGTGTCTGTTCATATCCTTTGCTCTCTTTTTGATGGGGTTTTATTTTCTTGTAAATTTGTTTAAGTTCTTTGTAGATTCTGGATATTAGCCCTTTGTCAGATGGATAGATTGCAAAAACTTTTTCCCATTCTGTTGCTGGTTCACTCTAATGATAGTTTCTTTTGCTGTGAATAAACTCTTTAATTAGATCCCATTTGTCTGTTTTGGATTTTGCTGCCTTTGCTTTTGGTGTTTTAGTCATGAAGACCTTGCCCGTGCCTATGTCCTGAATGGTTTTGCCTAGGTTTTCTTCTAGGGTTTTTATGGTGTTAGGTCTTACATTTAAATCTTTAATCCATCTGGAGTTTATTTTTGTATAAGGTGTAAAGAAGGGATCCAGTTTCAGCTTTCTGCATATGGCTAGCCAGTTTTCCCAATACCATTTATTAAATAGGGAATCCTTTCCCCATGGCTTGTTTTTGTCAGGTTTGTCAAAGATCAGATGGTTGTAGATGTGCGGCATTGCCTCCGAGGCCTCCATTCTGTTCCCTTTTGGTACCAGTATTGCTGTTTTGATTACCGTAGCCTTGTAGTATAGTTTGAAGTCAGGTAGCGTGATGCCTCCAGCTTTTTTTTTCTTTTTTTTTTTTGCTTACTATTGTCTTGGTTATGGGGACTCTCTTTTGGTTCCATATTAAGTTTAAGGTGATTTTTTTCCAATTCCGTGAAGAAATTCAATCGTAGCTTAATGGGGATAGCACTGAATCTACAAATTACTTTAGGCATTATGGCCATTTTCACGATATTCTTCCTAGCCATAAGCATGGAATGTTTTTCCATCTGTTTGTGTCCTCTCTTATTTCCCTGAGCAGTGTTTTGTAGTTCTCCTTGAAGAGGTCCTTCACATCCCTTGTTATTTGTATTCCTAGGTATTTTACTGTCTTTGTAGCAATTGTGAGTGGGAGTTCACTCATGATTTGACTCTCTATTACTGGTGTATAGGAATGCTTGTGATTTTTGCACATTGATTTTGTATCCTGAGACTTTGCTGAAGTTGCTTATCAGCTTAAGGAGGTTTTGGGCTCAGACGATGGGGTCTTCTAAGCATACAATCATGTCATCTGCAAATAGAGACAATTTGACTTCCTCTTTTCCTAATTAAATACGCTTTATTTCTTTTCCTTGCCTGATTGCACTGGCCAGAACTTCTAATACTATGTTGAATAGAAGTGGTGAGAGAGGGCATCCTTATCGTGTGCCAGTTTTCAAAGGGAATGCTTCCCATTTTTTCCCATTCAGTATGATACTAGCTGTGGGTTTGTCATAAATTCCATTCAGTATATTGGCTGTGGGTTTGTCATAAATTGCTCTTATTATTTTGAGATATGCTCCATCAATACCTAGTTTGAGAATTTTTAGCATAAAGGGCTGTTGAAGTTTGTCAAAGACCTCTGCATGTATTGAGATAATCATGTAATTTTTGTCTTTGGTTCTGTTTATGTGATGAATTACATTTATAGATTTGCATATATTGAACCAGCCTTGCATCCCAGGAATGAATCCGACTTGATCATGATGGATAAGCTTTCTGATGTGCTGTTGGATTTGGTTTGCCAGTATTTTATTGAGGATTTTTTCATCAATGTTCATCATGGATATTGGCTGGAAATTTTCTTTTTTAGTTGTATCTCTGCCAGGTTTGGGTATCAGGATGATGTTGGTCTTACAAAATGAGTTAGGGAGGATCCGTTCTTTTTGTATTGTATGGAATAGTTTCAGAAGGAATGGTACCAGCTCCTCTTTGTATCTATGGTAGAATTTGGCTGTGAACCTGCCTGGTCCTGGACTTTTTTTGGTTGGTAGGCTATTAACTGTTGCCTCAGTTTCAGACCTTGTTACTGGTCTATTCAGGGATTCAACTTCTTCCTGGTTTAGTCTTGGGAGGGTATAAGTGCCCAGGAATTTATCAATTTCTTCAAGATTTACTGGTTTATTTGCACAGAAGTGTTTGTAGTATTCTCTTATGGTAGTTTGTATTTCTGTTGGATTGGTCGTGGTATCCCCTTTATCATTTTTAATTGCATCTATTTGATTCTTCTCTTTTCTTCTTTATTAGTGTGGCTATCCATCTCCCATTTAAGTACTGGCCAAGCCCGACCCTGCTTAGCTTCCATGATCAGAGTGGTGTGGCTGTAGATGCCGGTAGGGGGGCACCTGGCTTAGTCTGGCTATCCATCTATCTATTTTGTTATTTTTTTTTCCAAAAAAAACAGCTCCTGGATTCACTGATTTTTTGAAGGGTTTTTTGTATCTCTATCTCCTTCAGTTCTGCTCTGATCTTAGCTATTTCTTGTCTTCTGCTAGCTTTTGAATTTGTTTGATCTTGCTCCTCTTGCTCTTTCAATCATGATGTTAGGGTGTCAATTTTAGATCTTTCCTTCTTTTGTGGGCATTTAGTGCTATCAATTTCCCTCTAGAAGCTGCTTTAAAAGTGTCACAGAGATTCTGGTATGTTGTGTCTTCATTCTCATTGGTTTCGAAGAACATCTTTATTTCTGCCTTTATTTCATTATTTATCCATTAGTCATTCAGGAGCAAGTTGTTCAGTTTCCATACAGTTGTGCGATTTTTGAGTGAGTTTCTTAATCCTGAGTTCTAATTTGATTGCACTGTGGTCTGAAAGACTGTTATGATTTCTGTTCTTTTGCATTTGCTGAGGAATGTTTCACTTCCAATTATGTGGTCAATTTTAGAATAAGTGTGACGTGGTGCTGAGAAGAATGTATATTCTGTGGATTTGGGGTAGATGATTCTGTTGATGTCTATTAGGTCTGCTTGGTTCAGTTCTGAGTTCAATTCCTGGATATCCTTGTTAATTTTCTATCTCGCTGATCTAATATTGACAAACCAGTGTTAAAGTCTCCCCCTATTGTGTCCTCTTATTAACAAACGCTTAGACAACTTAAATCATTACTTTGACTATTTTCTTTTAATATCGTCAACCCTCATACCCTTTATCTTTCTGCCATATACCCACTTAAATTTTCAAAAAAAAAAAGAGTCTACCATCTGTTCTCATCTTACTATTAACACCAAAGCTACTAAGTTTTGAGAAAATTGTACATATTTATGAACATATTTATGCTATGATAAAATTCATATTCATGTTTAAGCTGGGCCTCAACATTTTCTAGCACTTATTCTTAGGCCTCTCCATTACCCTGCACATAGCTTTACATGTCCCTGAACCCTCTACTTCAACAGATCTCCAGGAGAAAATCACCACCTTCACACTTCAGAGTCAACAAAAGCTATTAGGTGTTCCTCATTTACAAACTTTTCTGCATCTGATCACCTCCTGTTTCTTCAAGAAACTATTCTCTCTTATCCATTCCTGCTGTCTTTTCAACTACCTGGAATAAATGCCTTTCTCCTAAATATTCATTTGACTCTTTATTGACCTTTGAAAAGTCAATTCACTCTCCATATTTTCTTAAACAGCATAACCTGATCTTCACCCTCACCTCTAGCTATGGAGTTAGGTACTTGCCCCTCTACTTGGTTCCTACTGCATCCTATATTTGTACATCTGAGAATGCTTATAGTATATTTTAACTTAGTAATTTTTCAATTTTCATGCCAGATTTTGAGAAACTTAAGGACACAGTTCACGCGTATCTCACATTTCTATACCAGAACCTTCCCCATGGCAGTTACTAATTTGTATAATAAACTAATTCCAGCAAGTTCATTTATGCTCCCAAATGTGTAAATCAAGTTATATTCATTAATTTTACTATAAGCACGGAAAATGAGTCATATGCCAGAAGGATCCTACTTTCAAGGGCAATAAATGATATTCAGGGGGAAAAAAGTTAATTATTTAAACAAAATGAGACCCTTGCTGTTTGCAAAAGAAGTCAGCTCAATATATATTTCCACAATTACTAGAAAAAAACTTTTTTTAAATACTTTCAAGTAAAGTTACTTTGTCTGTATTATCTCTTCTATGTCTTCCTTCCGATGGTCTAGATTTCAGTGATGCAGCACTATCCACTCTATTTTCTAATGTTTGAGATACACTAGATTTCTCTGCAGAACTTGTCATTTGCAGTGGTGGTTTAATTTTTCTTCTCTGTGGTGGAATTGCTAAAAAGAAGGACAAAGATTACAGATTTTTGTTTTTATACCTGTTGCTATTATTGAGGTACTTTTCAGATGAGGAGGTTAAGAAATGAAGATTCTTAGATGGTTCCCAGGTTTCTGGCTTACGTAAGTAAATACTGATGCCATTTACCAAGAAAAGAAGTGAAGGAAAAATGTGCAGGAAGGGTGGAAAGATTAATTTTGGACTATTAAGTCTGAGAAGTATTGGGATTCACTCAGGGTGGTTGGCAAAATATTAAGAGAAACATTAAGGAAAGCTTTAAGATACAGTCTCAAACCTTTTGCAAGGCTAAAAGGTTTTTCATTAACTTGTAATAATGGATCAGACTGAAGGCTGCCTATTCTCACCTTAGAGTATTAGGTCATAGGGTGAATGTTAGGGATAATAGAAGCTTCCCCAGTTAAGTCTGTTTACCCCACGTTCCTTTGTACTTATGTAAACTTTGTGCCAGATGGCTCTCTCAGGGAGGCTGAAGGGTGTTTGTTCTCAGCCCTGGAACCAAAGCTTTTATCATTCATAAAACCACTTTTAATCATGTTAATTATCTACAAGTGTGTGAACTCAGAACCTCTGTCATTAAATCTATACTGAATAAATACAAGGAAGAACAGTTAATAGAGGTCGGGTAGCTGCAACTGCCCTCTGAGAGCTGCTGATGACCTCCCTAGCCCACTGTACTTTGTGTGTTTGAGTGTATTTATTCATCTGTTGTGGAGTTAGAGTTTGCAGGACTGACCCCCCCACCCCCAGGTGGGGATAAATGTCTCAGGTGGTGATCCCGACATGATCATCATCACAGCAGGGGCCTGAACATGGAGCGAACCAATGAGATCGACACCACAGCTGGTGCCCCATGTGAGGAGACCCAACATGATCATTGTCACAGCAGGGGCCCAAAAGTGCGGCAAACCAATGTGATCAACGCCACAGAGGAATCTGTCAGTACTAGGCAACTAGCCAGTAGGCAACTAGATTTTTAGAACAGAAGGTCAATATTAAATTGTCATATAGACTAAGACTTTATTTAAAGAAACTAGAATACAGTACCAATAACTTGTAATAACAGAGCATTAATACTTGCAATACTGGAGTATTAATGCAGTAATGGAGTATTAATACTTGGAATAAAACTTTTAAAACTTTTATTGAGCTCTTAGTATGTATCAGACACTGTTTAAAGTTTCACTAGATTCCTTATTGAATGAATGATTTTTATTTAATCCTCTAAACAGCTTGATAAGATACTTTAGTGCCACTTATAGAAAACAAACTGGTTCTAAATGTAGCTAGAGGATCATCTGTACAAAGTACACAGCTGGAAGTGGGGAACTAAGCCCACCTGGCCTGGTTAATTCAATGTTTTAACCAAAGATATGCTGTGTCCTGCTTAAATTACAATAAGTTATTAATGTTGAATATTAGTATTTTGAACATTGTTCTGTTCAAATCTTAGGATTACTTTTCTTCCCAATAGAAGACATTTATGGTTCATATTTTATCAATTTTATTATATACCAAACTCATCCTTTAGGTAAATTATGTTCAGAATTTCCTTAAATTAAAAAAATGCCTTCTTTAAAATAATTGTTAGAAATCTTTTAAAACGGTAAAACTTACATGTGTTGATGAAAAGTACTGGACTTCTCATAGTGTATCTATCTGCACCAGAAACAATCATTGATGCTTCAGACATTTTTCTTTTACTAGGAGTAATTATCTGAAACCATAATGAAAAACAACCACTGTAAACACAATCTTGTTGAAATTAAATATCCTACAATTTTACTTATAACATTTTGCCTTCATACATGCCAAAGATACATGGTTTTTAAATAAACACCACAATATCCATACATTTCCATATTTTAGGCTGATATGAAAGGTTCTCATCATGTTTGGAATTAAATAAGTAGCTAAAACAAGTAAGGAATATTGCTTTAAAGAATATTTATAAAATATCCGTACCATTAAGTATAGTACCTTTATATGCTAGCTGAAAATATTTTATCAATATTGAGTTTATCTAGTTAACCACAGCTCACAATTTCCTATTCTACTTCATGAGGATAATGTATGGATTACATATTTATATAAAATTATTGTGAGTGCTTTCATGTCAAGCTTTCTTCAAAACATTCACCTATTTTTGAAAATTGTACTAATAATCTGTGAAGGCTAAACTGGAGTGAAGTAGCTGCAGGAATTCACAGATTCAGTGGCACATAACCTACTGGTTCCAGTAAAGATCTGTGTTTTCCCATATCACCTCACACTGATTTATAAGAGGGACAGAAGTAGATAAGCAGAGGCAGGGACTACAGGAGATAGGAGTTTCAGAGGATTCCATATAAAGAAGTAGATGGTGACCTACTACTTAGAGGAATAAAAGAGCTGTTTTATTGTGCTTTGAGGCACCTGTCCCTAGAACAGGGGAAAAAAACTGATGGAGTTGTGAATGGGTATGCATAAGGGATGTGAGGGAAGGATGGAAAGGATAAGAGAAAAGAAAATTCTAAGATTAACTAGAAAACAAGCTTCTGAGCCAATAGATTCTTCGTAGAGAAATTAACAGTTTTTAGTGGTATAGTGAGACCTGAAAAGTTACTTATTCAAATAAAAGTCTCAAACAGTTCATCCTTATTGAAAACAGAGCAGGTATTTAACAAAAGACTAAAAAAGAAAACAGTGAATAACATAAATATGCCAAAATGTATGGAAGTGCCTGCGAAAGTTATAGTTACCTAAAGATGAAACATTAGTAAAAACTGAAATAATCAGGCAAAACTCCATGAAGAAAGCAAAAATGGGCTGGGTGTAGTGGCTCATGCCTGTAATCTCAGCACTTTGGGAGACTGAGGCAGGCAGGTCACCTGAGGTCAGGAGTTTGAGCCCAGCCTGGCCAACAGGAGAAACCCTGTCTCTACTAAAACAAAAAAAACAAAAATCAGTAATGTGTGGTGGGGGTGCCTATAATCCCAGCTTGTTGTGAATCTGACAAAGGAGAATTGCCTGAACCTGGGAAGCAGAGGTTCTGGGAAGCGGAGTTGCAGTGAGCAGAGATAGCACCAGTGCACTCCAGCCTGAGCAACAGAGCAAGTCTCCATCTCAAAAAATAAATAAAAAGAAAGTTGAAGACAGTGTGGCCATTCCTCAAGGATCTAGAACTAGAAATACCATTTGACCTAGCAATCCCATTACTGTATACATATCCAAAGGATTATAAATCATTCTACTATAGACACATGCATGTATGTTTATTGCAGCACTATTTACAATAGCAAAGACTTCAAACCAACCCAAATGCCCATCATTAATAGGCTGGATAAAGAAAATGTGGCACATATACACTATGGAATACTATGCAGCCATAATAAAGGATGAATTTATGTCCTTTGCAGAGACATGGATGAAGCTGGAAACCTTAATTCTCAGCAAACCAACACAGAAACAGAAAACCAAACACTACATGTTCTCACCCATAAGTGGGAGTTGAACAATAAGAACACATGAACACAGGGAGGGGAACATCACACACCAGGGCCTGTTGTGGGGTGGTGAGCTAGGGGAGGGATATCATTAGGAGAAATACCCGATGTAGATGACGGGTTGATGGGTGCAGCAAACCACCATGGCATGTGTATACCCATGTAACAACCCTGCATTTTCTGCACATGTATCCCAGAACTTAAAGTACAATAAAAAAGGACTTCCTACAAAAAAGAAAGGATATGTAAAATGTTTTAAAAGGAAAGCAAAAATAAAGAATGAAAATGAACAAGACTAGCAAATGTTAAGCATGCTTTAGATGAGTAAAGGCAAAAAAAAAAAGAAATAATGTCAATGAAGATCTTGAGGCATGAATGAACATGGCATGCAAAAAAAACAGTAAAGCAAACTACCTTACAAAAGGGGAGAACACATACTAGAGTTTTAATAGAAAGAGTAAAATTAAATTATAGGAAGTCTCAGAACTGAGCCAAAATTTATTGAGTCAGTGGGATGAATACAGAAATCACAAAGCTTTTGGAGCAGAAGAATGCTACGAAGGTACTGATATTTAAGGAAAATTGCTGATTATATGGGGTAGCTCACAGGATAAAACAGTGGTAACAAAGTCCTTATGAAAGAATAATCACAAGCACCTTGATTCCAGATGTAAGGGGAGAAGAGGTTGGAATCAAGCATACTGCCCAATAAATAAATAAATAAATAACAGTATTACTGAAATACAGATAGATGCAGATTTTAGGCAAAAGATAAAACGTTTGAGCTCAGACTTCAGAAAAGGGCTTGAAGGCATTTACAAAGGGAAATCCAGAAAAACAAGCAGAGATGCAGCTATAGAACTTTGAAGAAAAGTCCACTACATTTTAAGAGCTCATATTATGAACATCAAAGAAGCTCTCTAAGAAAGAAGGCAACACAATGTTCCAAAAGCTGGATATCAAGGTTTTCGGTTTAGAGCAAACCTACAAGGAGGTATGGAGAGACGGAGAGAACGTATTTCTGATGTAGTAACAGAAGCAGAAAGAGAACTGTGATATATAGTGGAAGCTGAAGGAGAAGGCCTTAAGAAACAGAGGGCTGTCAACAATATTAAGTGTCACAACAAGGTATGGTGCTGGGGGGGTGGAGTATGAGAAATGGTCTCTTGGGTGTGATCTAGAGGAGGTCCTTCAATGGAAGAGGAAGAAAATAAGAAAAAGAACCTCATACTCTTTTTTTTTTCCCCTCATGCAAATAAACAGATTATACATTTCCATATTATATCCAAATGCAACGATAGAACAAAAAGGATAAAGACAAGAAGAATGTTCTCTTATCTATCTTTAATTTGTAATTTACTGGTGTAAAGTGTATCTTGTTTCAACCCCTATACATGTACACAATTTGCTAAGACACTATATTTTGTTTGCGTTTGTCAAAGGTAGGAGTAAAACTCTCAAATGTGATTGATCAAGGCCATTAATATATAAATTCTAGATTTTCCTTTCTGTACTCATACGTAGTAATGATTTGATCAGTGGTAGTTTTATAAACCGGTATTTTGACACCATCTTTACCTCAAGCTGACTGTTGTTTCTATTCTCTTGGTTACTGTTTTTGATATATTTTGAAGATTTAGCAAATTCCTTTGGGGACTTAGATTTTTCTTTTAGACTAACGAGTTCTTCTCCGACTGGAGAGATCTGACTTTCTGGCACTAGAATCTGTTGGAGAATAAGATAAAAAAAAGTATTTAAAACTGCAAACCACAGAAAGTATTCAAAAATCACTGGATGTCTTAATAAAGCTCCTACTCATCTCACATATTCAACTACCAATTATTTCCCTTTTTCATCCATGTGCTATTATAACTTTTGCAAAGGGACCCAACAAAAAGTATCCATACTTTCAAACTCTAATAGCCATAAAACAACCTTGGCATTAATGGAAGGACATTTACTGCTTTTTAAAATTTTTAAAGTTACCACACTGCTATTTATTAATAACTCTATTATTTACACTAAAATTATTAAAAGCGTGTTTAAAAATCATACATTGGGGTACTGTTTATATTGAGACCATTTGTTTTCTATAATCACACTCCAACATCAACTTTATTACCGTTCTATTAGTTATGGTTAAACTTAGCCCAGTGATAAAAATCAAGTAAGTCTGAGACATACCTGTGATCCACTTGCATCAAAAAGTATATGCACTGATGTTTTGGCAACGGAAATACTTTGTTTTCTGATAGATTCCTAAAATTAAATCAATTCACAGTGATGCCATTTTCTTCATTTTCTTTCAATTTTTCATATGTCATTTTATTTCCACTTAATGAAATTATTTCCTGTTTTCCTCCAAAACTGCCAAATATTCCAAGTCATTACTTTGCATATATGAATACCTTCTCAGAGTATTTCAATTACTCCCCATTAACGAGTCGTCTTAGCCTGTCATTTTGGTCCCTCTACAAGTGTTCCTCACAAATACATCTAATATTCTGCAATATAAATATTTTTTACTATCCAAATTTGTCAGTTAAATATCTCCCTAAAACATCACATGAATGCATAACTTAAGAATTCTCAGTTAAACATATTTTGGCATATATGTTGGCTCAAACATAATTTGGTTAAACAACATTTGTCTCATAATGTCTTTCACATTCCTGGAAAGTATTTAATCTAAATCCTCTCCTTTAACTTCGAAGGCCATTTCAAGGCTATTAATATTAATGCCTATCTCCAAACCCGACTCTTTATGAGTATTTTCTTTCTTCAATGTCTACAACTCATGTTCCCTATGCCATTATTTACTTCTGATGTATCATGTAATTCTCATGATGTTTAAAATCTTGAAAACACTGCTTTCTCTCATTTTACTTTTTAAACACCTGGCAGAAATTCATTAAATGTTTTGAGCAGCTGCTGCTAATTTTGTCATCTGAGATACTTTCCAATTGATATAAATAACAAGCTGATGGCTATTCAACAGTACAGATTTAAAGAACTAAAAGGTACATGTCATTTTAAGAATTCTAGAAAGGAAAAAAATGCAATAAAACTTATAGCACCAAACTAAGTGTTTCCAGAATTATGAAAATAGTAAATATTTATTAGGAAGTTTAAACACTTACCCTAAGTTTATTTGCACCAAAAATTTTTTGAGTCACATTAGTGATTTCTAGTGATGCATCAAAATACAAAAGCAATTCTTTCCCTTCTCTTTTACTAATTTTTACTGTATTTTTTAGAATTATGGTCAGTAGCTTCTTTGATTCTCTCACTGTATACAAACAAATAACACTGATTAGTTTATATGAATTTCTATGATACCACTCTGCAAGTATACTATAAATAAGACATGGATACAGCATATTAGTGGAATCAAAATTCACACTCTCAATATTGAACAGTGTTTAAAGTAATCAATTGTGGCACTACCTACCTATGTAACAAATAAGTCAATTTAACTTTGCTAGTCTCAGTGTTCTGATCTATAAATTACAGGATACTGCCATGACTAATAAGCTAGAATCCCAAATACATTCTGGATCCTAACAGATTCTTAATAAAATATTCCTTGAACACATCTGAGAATATTATTTTCTTAATTTAAAAAAGTCAAACAAAAATAACTTTTATAATTACCACATTTCTTGGCATAAGCATATAACAATTTCTATTAAATCCACAGTTGTTATAAATATGTTGACAATAAGCAACATTTGATAAAAATTAAGTGTCAGGAAATTGTGAGGTGAAACGGATCTAGTATTTGGCCTCAATGAACTTACCAGTCCAGTAAACAGAGAATACAGCAAGTACCAGTTTATAAGAAATATTCACACTCTCCCTCTCTACAAAAGTTATCAAAAAATTACCTGGCACCTAATTAATGCACCTAGTATTATAGACCAGAGGCCACCAAGCTCCTGTCCTACTTCTGGCAGGGATTCTATTGCTGAATGAAGTGTCTCCACCTCTGCCTGAAATGTATTTTTGGGCAGGAGAAAAACCCCCTGAAGGAGCAGAATCACAGAAAGTAGGGAAATTTCTACTTCTGAAAAAGCTCTGCAGGCCACCCCATGATCTGGCCTAAGGAGCAAATGTCCCTACAGGCTATAAAATGTCCCGATTCTTATGAGGCCTGCCCAAGCAGAAAATGTTTTATTTGCTTTTGTAAGTATATGGTCATGAAACTTTCACAGTAATGCCCTTGGAAGGTACTAAGAATTATCAATTGCTTTAAAGTAGTGGCAAGCATAGTTTCAAACTCAAAGAGTGCCAGTAGTTTTTTTAAAAGTTCAACAGTGACAAGTTTTCAGGTTTCAGAGATGAAAATTTAGTGGGCTTTCAAGATGATGTTTCATGTTTTTATGAAAATTAAAACATTCATAATTCTTAAGTTTATTTTGGCTGTTTTATTCCTCTGATATGCATTTGATTTTTTTTGCTGTAGCTTGCTGTAAATCATATTAAATGTACTATTTGTTTTCACTCCTTGCAAGCACATGGTATTAGAATTACTTCAAATGTATTTTGCTGAATGCTTTGTGCCTATTTGTACAAAAATTTGTCTACCTATATTGTGGCTACTTACATAGGAATTTATCAATATTTGTTATATTTTAATGATTGCTTTGTTTAAATTCCTGATATTTGCTCTGTCTGGACTAAATCATGGCCTGGTTTCCTTTTTAATTACTTAGTATTATTGAAATACAAGAAAACTTTGTTTTGTTGCTTGCCATAAATTCAAGTATTTATGGATATCAATATATCAATATTTTATAACATAAAAATGACTAAAAAGAGAAGGAAAGAGTAAAAACTGTTCTCTCAAAATTGGTTATGAATGAGGAAAAAGATAGCTTAAGGAAGACACAGAATAAAAGTAGACTTTCTGTTTTATGATGTAGACATTTGAGCCCGTTGATATACTGAGAGAAAAGAGGTACTGAGAGAGTGAGAGAAAGAAGATACAAGAAATATGAATTGATGGAGCAAAGACTAGGATAACGTGTATGAAGAACTCAGAGAAATTACCCTTCAACAAGAGTAGATACCTATCCTCTGTTTATAGGAGAGATAAAGGAGGATACAGATACATAGATGTCTGGAGATGGAGGGTCTGAAGGGCCAAAATGTATAGGCACTGAAAAATTCATGTTCTGAATTAACACATCATAGTGAAAGCAAAAAGGCAAGGTTCTTAAGGATGATTTAAAATTTTAAATAGCAGCTGTTAGAAAACTGGAGAGGGATGGCAACTATGAACATGGAAGACTGCCAAGTAGCAGTGAGAGAGATTTAAAGTTGGAAGTTGGAGACTTCCACTTCTGGGGAAAATGTAGTATATCGCGGCAGGCTAATATCCACTTTTGAAACATCAGTAGGATTAAAATATTGTATGTTTAAAGGTGTCAGAGAGCTGTACATGTAACAAGATCTCTGGCCTTTTTTTCTCTAAGGAAATTTGCTAATTCTGTTTGTAGGCTTAAGAAGAGAATTTCTGCTAGAGATAAGAAAGACAAGCAAGTATTTAATGAGCAGTAGTCCCTGGAGTAACAAACAGGACACTTAGAGGCTTTAAAGGCATAACTAATTTTCTCTTCATTGTGGGGCAGCACAAGGAGCTGGACAAAACCTGTGAAAAGGCAGAGTTAACTCTCTAATAGTCTCACAGGTTTAAAATCAATGTACTGCCTGATACAGGTATCATCCTCAGGCATATGCCCAGTGTCCTGCTCAAAACATTTGCTGGATTTTGGACTGAATAGAGTAAAAGTCTGGCGAGCTGGGCTGGAATCCTCTAAAAGGCAGAACTGTATCTCCCATAGTCTCTCAGGTTCAGAAGAGACAAAGCTAATAGGCTCATGATCAACAGACTGGGATGGCCACACCTGAGCAACAGAGGCAAATAAGACAAGGAGTAAATTTAAAACTAAAACACAGGCCAACATCCATGATTAGATCAGTCCTTAAGCCCCTCTGCCTAAGAAGAAAAAAGAAACCCCTGTGGTAGAAGAACCATCTGGAGCATCTATAGTTCCTCTATATGCATTATCTATCATAAAATTATTTGACATGCATAGAGAAAACAACATGACTCATCAAGAGAGAAAACAACAGATCTTTTCAGAAGAAGGCTATATTAGTCTGCTATAATGGAATATCAGAGAGAGGGCCACTTATTTAAAAAAGGTTTATTTGGCTCATAGTTCTGCAGACTGTACAGGAAGCATGGTGCCAGCATTTGCCTCTGATGAGGAACTCAGGAAGCTTTTAATCATTGCAGAAGGCAAAATGGGAGTAGGTGTGTCACATGGCAAGAGAGGCAGCAAGAGAGAGATGAGGAAGTGCCATACTCAAACAACCCACTCTTACCTGATTAGAGAAATCATCACCATGAAATAATTATTGAAGAAAAAAATACCCCCTCCATCCTCAAACATCAACATCATAAACTAGGCAAATATGTCTGCTCTCATAATTTCTACTAACATTGTACTGAAGATTATATAGCCAGTGCAATAAGGCAACATGGTAGGATGGACTGACCATAAGAAGTGTTGGAAATGACATAGAACAAATGCAACTCTTATACGATGATAGTGGTAATGTAAAATGGCAAAATCATTTTGGACAACATTTTAGAAGTTCCTTCAAAAGCTAATCATATGCTTATGAGTCTGAACTAACCACTGAACTCCTTAGTATTTACCTAAGAGAAACAAAAACATTCTCCTAAGAAATTATACATGAATATTTATAGCAGCATTTCATAATAGCTAAAAACTGGGAACATTACAAATGCTCATTAACTAACAGCTGAATATAGAAGCCAATTGAAGAATATCTATACAATAGGATAACACCCAGCAATAAAAAGAACAAGCTGATACATGCAACAGGCTTGAATCTTTTTTTTTTTTTAAAGTATTCTAAAAGAAAGAAGCTGGACAAAAATTGCTACATACTGTATGATTTCATTTATATAAACTCTAGAAAATGTAAATGTATCAAAGATAAAGAAAACATTAGTAACTGCCTGGGGGTACAGTAGGAGAAGGATGGATACATCAAAAGTATAAAGAAATTTTGGTATGTTTATTAACTTGATTGCCATGATGGTTTCACAGGCATGTACAAACATGAAGAGTTATCAATGTCCTTAACCTGATGAAGGTTATACAAAAGACTTTCAGCTAACATCATGCTTGGTGGTAAAATACTGAATGCTCTTTCCTAAGCCAAGACTGGGATGCAAGCAAAGATGTTCACTTTTATCCCTTCTATTCAATATTGCACTAGAGGTTCTATCCATTGCAATAAAGCAACAAAAGGAAAGAAGGGAGGGAGGAAGTGCATAAGGATCAGAAAGGAAATAGTAAAGCTCTCTCTATTTGCAGATCCCATTACTGGTAAAATTAAAGATCAATTCTATTTATCGTCATATAGACTGAATACTTGGGAATAAATTCACCAAAAGCGTTATATAATGAAAATTAAGAAACACTGTTCAGAGAAATCAAAGACTTAAACAAATGGGGAGATACACCATGTTTATAAACTAAAATAGTTACTACTGTTAACATGTTATTTCTCCCCATATTAATCTAAAACCTGAGTCATAATTCCAGGAAGCAATTGACAAACTCTAAAATTTATATAGAAGCTCAAAAGGCCTATAATTTCTAAAACAATACTTTTAAAAACCACCATGTTGGAAGACATACTAATTGACTTCAAGACTAACCTCAAATCTATCATAATCAGAACAGTATGGTAGTGACATAAAGAATAGCGAGTAGATCTATGATAAATAGAACAGATTAGAGCACCAAGAAATAGACCCACTTTTACAGAGGCATGATTTTCAACAAAGAAACCAAAGAAATCCAGTAGAAGAGAAAAGCCTTTACAGCAATAATCCTGTAATAACTGCATATCCATAAGAAAAAATGAACCTCCAATCTGTACATCACACCTCAATCAAATATTAATTTGAGATTACAATTTAAGAGGAGACAAAAATTTCTTGGGTCACAGAAAACAATAACCATAAAAACAGATCAAGTAGATCTCAAAATCTAAAGCTTTTGCTCACCAGACATCATTAAGAAAAGGAATAAGCAAGATACAGTTTGGGAGAAAACTAGAGCATTTATCTGTCAAAGGATTGGAATCTAGGATACCTAAGAGCTAGAGTCCAATAAAAAATGAACAAAATATTTAAATATATACTTCACAAAGGAAGATAGATGAATGGCCAGAAAGCACATGAAAAGGCGTTCAATATTGCTGATCATTAGGAAAATGCAAATAAAAAGCATAAGAAATTACTACATGTCTACCGAAATGATTAAAATGTCTTAATATCTGAATTGGTAATAGCGTTAGTCTGATTTTGTCCATAGTGTTATGCAGTTCCCATTGTAGGACTGGAGCAACCAGATATTCATATTTAATCAAGCAAATGAGATGAAAGGTGAGGAGCTTTGAACATAGAGACAAGAATGACAAATGTGGATCACTGGTTCTAGACCAAATGGAAGGAAATAAGTACATGGGTAGGGCTGGGAGATTAGTAGAGAAACATGGGATCAAGGAATTTGATGCATTTCTGAATGTGAACATCTGGAAATACTGATTTTGCTTTCATTAGCATATTTTGTTAACCCAGAAAGTATGTAACATTTGTTCCATAGGGTAAGAACTGAGAAGAAAATTACATTTAAAAAACAAGTTTAATACCTTCAATGCTGTATATTTGTACTTTTTCCTCCGGCACAGTAACAGCTTCCCACTGATGATCCTTAAATTTAAAAACAGGTTTGGCCATAAGTAAATAATTTATTTCTGATTTAAAGTTTCTTTAAACATATTTTAGGTTACATGAACTATCATTTTTTTCCTAAATAATCACTCAGCAACTAGTTTATAAATAATCTCTAAGTAACTAGTTTATATAACACCTTTCTCACTCCATCAACTACATATTATACATGTTACATTTAATGTATTTGCTCATTTTTAAAAAGAAATGATGGTATTGACAATTTCCTATCCTTAGCCAAAAAAGAATGACTGTTAATATTTATTAGAGGATACCCTTTTTAAAAATGTTACCAATTCTTTTTATGTTGTCTTTAAAATATTTTGTGAAGTCATACTCATTCCTCAATTCCCACTCCTACTACATATTCCAGGTCCTGTAACCAAAATACTCATTAACCGATTGTCCTTTGATTTAAATATGAATATACATGAATGATAGCCTAAAATGTTTGCCCCAAGTATTTTCACTGAAAATTTGTATAAGTGAATAAAATGATATTGAATTCACAAAGTTGTAGTAAAAATGAAATACCATTCCTAAAAAAATGGGACTCTAAAACCTTCCAGTAATCTCGTAAGAAAAATAAATCCCAACTTTTGTTATTTAAGGAGTCATTCCAGAGCAATTCCTCTAAATCCTCATTCTTTAATTCTCTTCTCTTCTATACCTTAATTGAAACCAGTCATACCCTGATGATGTCACGACCTTTATCCCTTACCTCAAAACCTCAGGATCAGGAGGAAAGGGATGATATTCCAATTTTTCCCCAAAGCTTTGAGCAGCCTCATATTTCTGTGTGTAAAAAACTTCTGGCCGGGCGCGGTGGCTCATGCCTGTAATCCCAGCATTTTGGGAGGCCGAGGCGGGTGGATCACGAGGTCAAGAGATCGAGACTATCCTGGCCAACATGGTGAAACCCTGTCTCTACTAAAAATACAAAAAAATTAGCTGGGCGTCGTGGCGCGCGACTGTGGTCCCAGCTACTCGGGATGCTGAGGCAGGAGAATTGCTTGAACCCGGGAGGCGGAGGCTGCAGTGAGCTGAGGTCGTGCCACTGCACTCCAGCCTGGAGCCTGGTGACAGAGTGAGACTCTGTCTCAAAAAACAAACAAACAAACAAACAAACAAACAAAAAACTCCTTTGAGGAATATCTCAGCTGGCATATTCTATTCTCAATAATTGTTATCATCTACTAACTTAAAAGTGATTCTTCCTTATATATCAAGGCACTTGGTTCACTTTAAAAAACTACATAATGAAAATTTTCAAACAGATTATTTTAAATCAGAAATCATAGTATTTATTATAAACCCAAAATAGACCCTTAACTAGCTCCAACAGTTATGAGTATGTCGTAGCAATTTTGTTCCATTTTCATCTCCACTCTCCCTCCATTATATTTCTCCTCCTTTTGACTTCACTTTTTCCCTTCAATCTCTCCCTATCTGCCCTGCACCATCAATTTTTGAAAGCTTTTACCCTTAAAATACCCAATAAAAACCCCTACTTTGAATCCATATCTCACGCTAGCTCTTTCCTTAATGTCTTTACTTCATCAACAAATATTTTAACTTTCTAGGAATGCCTAAACTCTTTATCCCGTAAGTGAAACTGCTTTTTCATGGGTTACCAGTTTTTATTTAGTCCCACCTCTCAGGGGTATTTCACTGTGTTGATCATTTTCTCTCATAAATGCTCCTTTCCTTTGTCATCCATAACACTATACCCTTTTAATTTGTTCCCTTTTGGCCGACTCTTCAAGTGTACCTCTGGCTAAAATCTCATTTACCTATCCTGTAGAAATGTGTGTTTTTCAAAGTTCTTTCACGTAGGCACTCATTAAATCCCATGGTTCTGTCATTTATATACAGGCGGCTTCTATATCTCTAATTATGGCTCAATCTCCATCTAGCTACCCAAATTTTAGTAATCCTTCCTCTTTTCAAAAAAATTACAAACACATCACAAAGTTTGCTCAGTCCAGTCTCCTCTCAAGTCCTTCTGGATTCTATCAATTTCCATCCATGCCCATCGTCACATCTCAAAACAATGCCATAATTATTTCTCACCTGGATTATTGTGAAAGCCTCCAAACTGCCTCTCGTCTTGTTCCTTTTTAATCCATTCTCCCCAATCTATTTTTATTGATTTCTCCTACTGGGGGGATCTTTTACACAAATGCGTTCTCTAGTGCCTAGTACATCCATGACACACAGTTCTCAAATATTCATTGAGCTGATATTACCTCTTACTTATAATCCTCCTTTGGCTCCACACTTCCTATATTTTTCCAATCCCCTCTGCCCTCTATGTATCTTTTAATTCGTTCAATGTTCCATTTACTCATGCTTGCAACAAACATGAGCCACTGAATAGCTATAAACAACAGGCAGGTTCCTGATCTTATTAATCTTCTACTCTATGCAGGAAAGCAGACAACAAAAAACAAAATGATTTTAAATAGTAATGACTACTATAAAGGAAATAACACAATGTGGAATAACACAGCTGTGAGGATACTTTGTATTGAGTAACCAGAGAATACTCTGTAAGAAGGCAACATTTGTGCTTAAATCTAGATGGGAAAGACTAAGATACAAGGACCTGGAAGAAGTGTTCTAGGCAGAAGAACTAAGAAGTAGAAAGACCTAAGATGGGCATGATCTGTGTTAAAGAAATAAAAAAAAAAGTGATTGGAACATAGTCATCATAGAAAATATATAAAATATCAGAGAAACAGCCAGAGACCGGGCCACAAAAAGCCTCGTATGCCACGTTAGAGAGACAGAAGAAGGATTTAAGGAGCCACTGTGGAGAATGGCTTTTATGGACAGCAAGAGAATACAGGGACAACATACTACAGCTACAGAAATTCAGAAAAGAGCAGATTCTAAACAGAGTTTTGGGAAGAAAAATCCCCCAGTATCTTGATCAGCGTCTGGAACACAGTAGGCACTTAACACCTCTAAATGCATTTTCCACTTTCCCTATCATTTTTACTGTTATAGTGTAATTGCTTTTCTTATCTCAATAATCCGTTAGACCAGGCTGAATGAAGAACACTGACCTTTTTATTTCCTTTATAGTACTTACTGCCATTTAATATAAATACTTTTTCTTCTCCTAAAATTCTATTCAGTTGGTGCAAAATTGCGGTTCTTGCCATTACTTGCAATGGTGAAAACCACAATTACTTTTGCACCTGCCTACGTAGCTCCTCAAAAAAAAAAAAAAAAAAAAGTTTCAAGTATTCCTACAAATTCTGCAGGAGAAATACGCTAATGGAAACTGTCAGTGCCCCTGAGAAGCTGTGCTAATCACTGGAACTCAATTTTAAGCATTCAAAGAAGGTACTCTAGAACAAAAAGCAATAAAGACGTGTAAATCCTAAAAGGCATTTGGTTAATGTTCACCTATAAAGTTTACTTGGGACAAATAGTGGGATTCTAGAAGAAACGGACTAAAAAGACTAAAGCCTTATTATAATATCACCGGCTGCAACGAGGTTAGTAAATGCTGATCAACTCTTATTCAGATTCTGGCAAATGGACTACACAATTTGAGCTAAATGTATGTAAATGTATCAAATATGAGGTGGTATCTATCATGAAATAACGGCTCAAGGATTTTCCTCAGGTAAAAAATATGTAGGTCAGCAGAAAATATGCCACCTATTTGGAAGACTTAAACATAGCTATGATAAAGCATAGTAAGAAAAGAACTAAAATTAACTTCCAATCAAGTCCTATTTCCAAAGAGAAGATTTTATGAATGATTAAGACCACTTGTCCCTGTTTGTTAACAAAACTTTTAATAGAATTCATCTGTATTTGAGTAACTGTTCTCTTTTTAAAAGCCAATTCACTTTGTTTATATGAATATAAAATTTTATCTGTCATAAATTAACATGTAATTTATTTTTGAAATGCTTATGTTAAAAAATTAGTATTGAAATTTAGCATTATTTTTTCTGTTACAATAAAACATCAGAAACCATTTTCATTTACAATTAGCATAGTAGGTTGCTATGCTAATCAAACTACTAGAGCTAATGTTAAAATCTATGTAGACTGGCTAGAAAAATAAATATATAAAGAAATCCACATTCTTACAGTGAGTAAAAATCTTACATATACATATAGAATAATACCAAGGGAATAAAACTTACATCATTATCTCCAGCAATGTAGAATGAGACAGTCTGACTCCCAAGATTAAAATCAATCCAAAATTCCTCAAGTTTTTCATCTGATGGTATTTGCAGCTAATAAAATAAACATATAAAACTGGCATATACAATGATTTTAGAAATAACAGAAAATTATGATGTTACATTAATGGCTACATCAAGAAAACAAAGTAGAAGGAGAGAGAACAGACAAGTATAACATTTAGATAAATTTTAAAACAATCAAATGAAATGCTACTTTAACATTTTACAAAAAAAATCGATTAGTTCCAAGAAATCATGAATATTCCAAATGCTAACAAAAGTTGAAAGTACTAGTTTGAATAGATTCATACATGATAAATCAATAATGGTCTTAAGGAAACAGGAGAAAATTTGGACTACAGCCTTTATTTTTCAGTTATTCTTGGCAATGAACATGCTGTTCCGTAAAATTTCTCCTGGTGTCACTGCCAGATACAGAATACTAGACCAGCTATATTCATGATCTAATTACAACTACTTTTAATTTTCTTACTCATTTTTAACTGACAATTCACTTGACTCTATCAAAATTCATGCACTAGCTAAAATAACATGTTAAATTAAAAATTTACCTCATATTTATCAAGAAATGCTGACAAACAAGGAAATGTAAAAACCCTGAAATAAAAAGTAGTTTAAGAAAAAAATAAATAAGCTTTCACAGCCTAATCTTGTCCATCAATAGAAATCATGCCAAATCTTATTTCCCTCTTTAATACTTTTCAAAATACACATTTAATGGACATTTACGCAGAGAAAATCGTATTACTTTGAGGATGCTACTCAATCTACCATTTTGATTAAAATGATTGCACCAAATGTTTTTGTATGTGATGCGGTTTGGCTCTGTGTCCCCACCCAAATCTCATATTGAATAGTACTGTCATAATTCCCATATGTCATAGGAGGGACCTGGTGGGAGGTAGCTGAATCATGAGGGCAGTTTATCCCATACTGTTCTCGTGGTAGTGAATAAGTCTCACGAGATCTGATGGTTTTATCAGGGGTTTCCACTTTAGCATCTTCCTCTTTCTCTCTTTGCCTGCTGCTACTGCTGCTATCCATGTAAGATGGGATTTGCTCCTCCTTGCCTCCACCATGATTGTCAGGATACCCCAGCCACATGGAACTATAAATCCAATTAAATCTCTTTCTTTCGTAAATTGCCCAGTCTCTGGAATGTCTTTATCGGCAGCATGAAAATGGATTAATACAGTGTGCTATCAAATATGACCAGAGTTTCCTAATTTAGTTTATAACAGATGTTTCCATAGAACTTAAATGAGATAAGAATATAAATGAATAACTCTCTTAAAAATGGTTAAATTCACAGAATGCTTTCTTAGGTACTATTTTAAATACTTAGCATATTATCTCATTTAATCTATACAACAAACACATGAGGTAGTTATTAGTACTATATAACAGCTAAGGAAACTGAGGCTTATAAAATTAAATAGTTTGCCCAATATTAGAACAGCAAGAGAGAAACTTATGATTCAAATCCAGGTAATAAGACTCCTTTCACCACCCTTACAATAGCTGTAATTTCTTTAGTAAGTAAAGTAAATGTTAACTCATTCATCAAATAAATGTGTGTTGAACATCTATAAGGTGCCAGGCATTGCAAATACTCTGTTTTTCTGTCATTATAAAAAAAATAATTAAAATTTACATTACATATCCTTTCATGCCCCTCAGAAAGACCCTAAAGTATGTTAATTATAAAGGAAGATGATTTGTTTGCTATGTATTTACATTCCAGTATGTGGATGAAGGAGACAATTCAAGTAATAAATATATCTAGATTTATGTTATCCCTCAAACATTAATAATGGATATGCAACTCAGAAATATAGTAAGCCAATTTTGAACATCCAAAATTATTAATTAATATGAATTAAGCAGAAATGAACTTTTCCCTCTGAAAAGTACAAAATAAAACAAGGCCAGTGCAGAATTATTTCAGATTACTAGTGTAGTAATTTGCTAAAATCATGTTATTGTTTTAAATTAAATATCTACACACATTTTACACTCCAACATAACAGGACAAATACAGTAAAATTTATAAAGAGTCAACATTGGTTAAATGCTCACTCTTGAGCTCTGTTTCTTTATCAGTAAATGATTGTATCTTCCATTAAATTTACCTTCTTTTGTCTCCAAGTATGCCATTTACAAGGTTGAGAAATATCCTGCAATCCTAATTTTAAAGAGAAAGACTTTTAAAAATCATAATAATTTTTAAAAATTCACAAATTTCTGTTATTTTTACACAACTTACTGTTTCAAATTCAGAGTCCTTAATTCTTTTAAATGCATTAGCAATAAAATCCATTGAAAACCAATGATGTGCCAGTTCTTGTCTTTGTTTTTCTGTGGTCATTCTACATAAAGCTTCTACAATGCCTACCTGTAAGTCATAATCTATTTAAAAAAATAGTTAATGTTTGATTTACAATTATGAAAATTAAGTTTATAAAAGACCACATATTTTACAAGGTATTAGAATAAGCAAGAGAAATAAGAATATATTAGTGTAATTTATTAATCTATTAATATTTTCTTCATAAGGATTAGAAGTATCTCATCATTTGAGGAATTAACACAGCTCAAATAACAAGCATGTTAACAGAAGAAATAAGGAAAATTTTTTAAAATTTTAAGAGACTTCTAAATATTCAAAGACACTGCCATTTCATTATTAGAGAGATAAAATGCAAAGTAACCCCATACAGTTGTCTGTAAGTCATAAAATCTGCTTTCCTTTTGTGTAACCATGATTATAATTATCCCAGAGTACTTTAAACCATCATTTATTCTACGTGTAAATCATCATAATAAAATGCATTCACAAAAAGCTTAGAAAATAAATTTTAAGTTATTTTAATAAACAAATTGTTTAAAAACAAATTCATCAATACCAAGTATATCAGACACCCTAATTTCATAAAATACTATCTGAGGAATTTTTTAGCACAATTAGTTCAGATCTATTGAAAAATTAAGCTATTATATTATTTATAAGTCTACCATTAGGCACAAATTCTATGTATCTAACACCTACTGTCAATTATTTTTGTACCAAAGACAATTTTCATTTTTACTTATTAAAAATTGCTTGATTGTACCTAAAGTTTATAATTCCCTCAGTCTCACATTACTATGCTAATATTTTAATTTAAAAAATACTACCTACTCTTCATAAATATGGAATAATTTTAGATTTGAAAAGACTGACTTACCTCCAGCATCTAAAATCCTCTCTCCCATACTACCCCTGTGAATTAAAACAACAGATTATAAACTGGACCAGAATCAATAGGAAGTCCATGAGAAAAAGAAACTTCACTAAAATTTATAAGTGGCTAATATCACCAACTTTTGCAGAAATTATATACATATACTAAATTATATTAAAAAGCTACAAGTTTATCAGTTTCATTATTAATGCAAACTCATGATTGTCTTATAAAACATTCTTAAATTCTTGATTTTAAGAATAAAAACAATATAGTACAAATTATTACATGAGAATTAACATTTCTTGGTTAGAGAGTATTTTCCGGGCATCTTGAGGCATTTTGTCAAGCATAGCATTCATTTTTTTTATTATCTAGAAAAGAAAAAAAGATAATGCATTAACTTTATATTCAGTGAAATACTATTTAGCAAAATATTCTAGGAACATAAACTTAGAAGCCTAATTTTTGCTTAATCACTAAATTTTATTATGGGAATGGAGTAGGATGGAGGAAAGAATATGTAACGTATAAAATAGGCTAGGCGTGGTGACTCACACCTGTAACCCCAACACTTTGGGAGGCCGAGGCGGGCGGATCACTTGAGGTCAGGAGTTCAAGACCAGCCTGGCCAACATAATGAAACCTCGTCTCTACTAAAAATACAAAACTTAGCCAGTCATGGTGGGGTGCACCTGTAATTCCAGCTACTTGGGAGGCTGAGGCAGGAGAAGCACTTAAACCTGCAAGGCAGAGGTTGCTGTAAGCTGAGATCGCGCCCCTGCACTCCAGCCTGGGCAGAGAGCAAGACTGTCTCAAAAAATACAAAAATAAAGTATAAAATAATGAATATAAAAACATAAACTATGGAATATCAAAAATCGGATATAACATGACTCCTGTACTTAAAGCATTTATACTTTTTACAATACAACTTAAATTTATTATAACTCCATTATAATTTCTAAGAAAGCCAAAAAGTATTACCTTATTTTGTTCTTATGATTATAGTACATGTACACACATGTATATACTAACACAGATTATTTTCAGCATCTAAATACATAAGGACCCGGAAAATTTGGATGGTTTAATTTTCATTTGAGCTATATGTATACATAAACCAATATGGTTATAAATTTTCCATAACGATTTAAGAAATATATCAGGCAATAATAGATCATTAAGATGATAGAAATAAACTCCAAGGTAAGTAATTTAGCCCTAGATAAAATAATTTTTCAATTTAATTGTTATTGATTTTCTTCACTTTCTAATTTTTAGTTTTTAAAACAGAATCAAACAAATGACTTTACCTCTTGCTGAATACAAATATTCACTCTTGAGTCAATAACCAGGGAACAAATGCGAGGTACGAAACTTTCCACTACTTGTTTTTTACCTGAATAAAAGTGTTAAATTATTGATAAATGTTCATTTCAAATTCTAGTAACCGTCAGTCTTTTCTTATAAGAGTTAGCGGAAAGGAGCCAGGCATGGTAACTCAGGCCTATAATCCTAGCACTTTGCAAGGCGCAGGTGGGCAGATTACTTGAGCCTAGGAGTTTGAGACCAGCCTGGGCAACATGGCAAAATCCTGTCTCTGCAAAAATTAGCCAAGCCTGGTGGCAGGCACCTGTAGTCCCAGCTACTTGGGAAGTTAAGGTGGGAGAATCATCTGAGCCCAGGATGTCAAGGCTTCTATGAGCCATGATTGTACCACTCTACTCCAGCCTGGGTGACAGGAGACTCTATCAAAAAATAAAAGTAGTTAGTGCAAAGGATATACTACTGTAGTTCAGAAGGCAGTTCGCCAGGGCTTGGGGACGAGAAAGAATGAAACTAAGTCCCTAATTCTATCACTAAACTAGCTATGTGGCCTTGTAAAAACTTCCACTCAACAGATAGGACTGATTTTAATACTGTCAAGGGAATAAGTCTAGATCTAGCTTCTAACTGCAGTCACATAAGGAACTTTTTTTTTTTTTTAGATTAAGTAAATATAGTTCAAAAGTGAAAACTTCAATGTTGAGGCTTTTTCTAAAACTGACCTCATTTTTAGTTATACATCAAAAAATTTTAGTTATACATCAAAATTTTTATACCCATAAAGACCAATATATCTTAACCTTAATGAAATTCTAAATGATATGAGCCACTTTTAGGGTAACATACAATTTTTTAGGTTAATGTACAATTTTCCAAAGTGACTACATAGATAGAACAAAAGTACTCAGGTGAAAAGATACAAGTATTTACTTTAAAAATCAGGTGGATCACTTTACAATTGCTGGTGCTTTAAATTGCTTTCTCCCTAAAAACATAAAAATTTAGACTACATTGTTACGTAGCAAAAACAGTCAATGAAGAAGTGGAATTAATTATTGTTTAAATCAATGGCAATCTGTTTAAAACTCTTAAAGGCAGCAAGTACCTTTATTTATAAATAATTCACCAGCCTCGGTGACCAGTCCTAGGTAAGGCTTCTTCAATCAACACAGAGCTAAAATAACTTGGATCTGATTGCTTGGCACAAGACAGTTGCAGGCCACAAGTGAAAGGATGAGGAGTAACATATTCTGTATTTTCAATAGTTTACTACTGAAAATTTGTTCCATTAGATCAAGTGTTGACAAACTATGGCCCACAAACTAAATGCAACTCACATTGCTTGTTTTTGCATGACTGTATCACTCAACAGCAAGTGCTTTGTGAAAATTATTTGAATCTATCGTGTTTTATTAAACCAGTAGTGTCAAAGGTGAACATCATTCACTCTTGTCAATTTAGCTATGGTTAGTTATTTGAATTTTTGTCAGAAGCAGAAGCTGAGTATTCTGACTTTCCCTAACACACAGCAGTCCAATGGCAGTGGGGTTTCATTGTGACTTTTTGACATCCAGCACCAAGACTGAACTTTTTCTGAACAAGAATCGTTATCAACCCTTATTATTGCATACTCAATGGCTTTGGTAATTAGCACTGGTTGCAGAGTTGACAATGTTTCTAAATGAATTGGGCCCAAAATTACAAAATAATGCTTAGATCATGAACTTACACTCTAGTGAAGTCATTCTGATAACTATGGTGATTTGAATGGCAAGTAATGCTATGCTGCTTTATAACTTCTCAGACTGTCAAAAGTTAAAACAGGAAGCAACATCTCCATTTCCACACAAATTTTAAGGGAATATATTTTTTCCAAACTCCAACTACAGGTCTAGCAGTATTTTTAAACTTTGTTGTAAGTACAAAGGAAATTTCCACATTTCAAAATCCATTTAATTGTGCAGTTGGAAAGCTTCCACATAACCTTCAATTGGAAGTGATTAATATGCAATGTAATGACATTCTAAAATGCAAATGTTAAGAACCTAACAATTCTATTAATGCCTTTCAAGTGATGAACATGCTCAATTAAAAGCATGCTTATGGACTGATATCAGTATTTGGCACTGTCTGCATGAAAAGTCATTTTCTAATGTGACGTACATAAAACCTCATTATAGATAGGCATTAACAAATGAATGTTTACAATCAATTTGGAAAACAGAACACTAACTCTGAACCCTAATTAAGTGTAATGTTATTCTCTCACAAAAAGAATGCAAAGTTCATTATTAGGAGACCTATATTACAAAAAATTGTACAGCCATTTTTAATGTTATATTATTCAATAGCATAAATAAACTATTTATAAAAATTTGTTTTTCTAGTTATACGAGTACCTACATAATATTCTTAATTGTTTGTCTCTTGGACTACAAAGTCTAAAATATTTACTATCTGGCCCTCTACAGAAGAAGTTTGTTGATCCTTGAATCAGACAATGAGTTTCTAATACTAAGACAATACTATGGGAATTGTGAAATTATACTAAAACTCTAACAGTAATTTATTGCTCCAATAGAAAATAGTTATAAATATTATACCTTCATCACTGACGTCATGTATGACCTGAAAAAAAGTGAATAATATTTAATTTACAAGTTACTGTCTATATTATAAACCATTACAAATGGTACTGAAATGACAGATTGCATTTCAACTCATAGCAAAATTACTTTTTATTAACGAATCATTTAGTTATATTTACCAGAATAATGTTTTATACAATCTGAACAACCAATCCAATCGAGTCACCAACCAATCTGTTAGTGACTTTTAGGCTCAGGGCACAGAGAACACAAATTGTTTTTTTAAATAAACACATGCTTTATAAACATCAGGGTAATCAATGTGATTTTTACCAGCAGAAGATCAACTAAGTCTTCTATCATATTTAGAGCAGCTTCATCTTTTGAATTTTCTTGACTCTGAATAATCTCCTTGGATTTTTCAAACCAGAAAGCCATGTAAAAAAAGGAATGAACTTATTAGTTACTTTGAGTTCCATTTTAATAACTTTAAGAATGTACTTATCTGTCTTTGTATAAACAGTAAACCTAGGAACAAAGACACTCAAAATCAAAATTTTAATATTGTATCAAAATAAATTTATGCTTTTAAAGATCTTCCCTTTTTTTTTTTTTTTTAAACTCACTATATTTTCCCATTGTTTAAAATGGGAAGAGATTAAGTTAATCCAGATTTCATGCAGAAGATCCTCATTTCGTCCTTCAAATTCCTAGTTAGGGTACATTATTTATAATACATGGAAGTAAATTATCATCACAATTTAGACCATTTTGGTATTGTTACTATATGAGATGTTTTCATATCGTTTTACCTTAATTCGGATATTTGAGTACATACATATCAGATAAAATTCTAGGTGCCAATAATGTAGCAATGAATGAAACAGACAAAAATCAATATCCTACATTCTAGCATAGGAGACAGACAACAATATAAAAACAAAAATGAAGTTAGATAATAAAAGTTAAAGAGATAATAAAGCAAATAACGGCCTTAGGGAGCTTAAATCATATGATTATCAAGCAGTCTGTCTTTGTACAGTTTTCTTGTGATCTTTGTATTTGTAACATAAGAGTTAGAGAAATATTTTATTCTCAAAATTGTATATGAAGTTGCTAAATTTATTTTCAACAATTTGGACAATTTCTTATTTTATTAGAAAACATACCTTTTACCATATTTAATTCACATGAAAATGTTACATATTCTATACTTATCTTTTGTATTAGTCCTTGTTTTATCATAGTTAAAAGTCCAGCTTGCCCCAATACACTGATATTTTTGCCACATCTTCCAACAGAAACCAAAATGGTTGAAACATTGTGCATATCCTCTTTATTAAGTTCCTGAAATAAAAGGTATACATTAACATTTCTGTAAATACAAAACAGTATGAAATAGACATTGCACAAGGAGCTTTAAACACATATTGATAATCCTCACAAATCCTGAATGATGGTCAATCATCTCTATATTGCAATGGATGAAAATGTGGTTTAAGAACACAACCTGTCCAAAGCCACACAGTCAAGGAATGACAAAACTCAGGACAAAAATGGAAATCTGTATAAATCCAAGAAACTTTATACTATGATACAATGAATCAGTTACTTTCCATTCTAAAAAGCTCCATGTATTTACAGACAAAAGAAATTCTTATTCAATTTCTTGGATTCATAATGAATCTCAGATACTGGGGGGATTATCAATAACCGCCCTTCCTCGTGTATGAAAATGCCTTAAATATGATCAATTAAATTCAAAGTTTGGGGTGATTTTTCCATTTTCCATACTAGTTTTGACAGAAGTAGGCATTGTCCATGTAACATCAAGTATACACTGATAGGTGTTTAAAAGAAAATCTATCAACTTGTCTAAACTTCAAACAGCTGAAGTATTTTTCCCCCAGTTTTGGTAACAGTTAATAATAGTAAAGCCTATGTGAACACATATTTTTGTATTTTTTATTTGGGAAATGACATTCCGATGTGTTGAGATTCCTCAAACAAAAATAAGCAAATGGTAAAATAAGCATTTATTTATATAATTATAACTGAGCTTGCCCAAGCCTTTCTATTTTTTTTTTTCTGATGGAGTACTTCTTCCTAAAACTAGAGTTCTATCTAATAATTGTAACAATCATTCAGCAAAAATAAATATTTACCCTGCAAATAAGGTTGTCCACTTTGTGGAAAAACTGTTTGCTGCATTTAATCTTCACATCTTCACAAATATCAATTTGTAAAAGTGTTTTCAAAGGTCTGAAATCATTTTTTCTTAGAGCATCATCAATGTATTTTTCCAACTGCTAGAGAAATATATTAATTGGCACATACTGAGTCACATACTGAATCAAAACCAAAATTAATTACCTTATGCAAACTAGTAATTTAAGAACTGTTTTCACATGAAAGCTCTCAAATGAGCTCATAAAATATTAATTGGCTTAATTTTTTAAAATGTGGCCACTATTAAATTTGGAACAATTGAGTTAGAAATTACATTTCTTTGACAACAAGACTCTCAACAGGAAAAATTTTTTTACTAATATTTCCCAATTCATATATTTTATTACTAAAGTCATCTTTATGTCAAACTCAAAAAAAACTTAATGAAAAAAGCAAAATAAACTTTAGAGTAATTAATACTTAATACCATGAATAAAAGCCTAGCATATCTGACTACTGTTCTCTTAACAAGGTTTAAATAGTAAAGAAAAATGCATAAAGACAGGCAAAAGCACCTTTTAAATTATGCCAACATAAATTAAGCATTACCCTTATTTAATATTTATAATCTAAATAAAATATGCCATCATTGCTATTGAAATACAACTTCACAAATAACAAATTTTCACACTACAACCTGATCACTAAACAGGTTTGGCTGTGAACTGCATATATGAACAGATTATTAACACACTTTACCTAAATACACAATATCTTAATCTCTAAAACTTAATATGAAAATATCCAAGCATAAATTATGCATGAATCAGTGCACAATTCTTTTCAATGTGAAAGGTAAGTATAAAGAACAGACATCTTTAATACTTTATATTCTTAATATAGATTTTGCAAAAATCTATTGAATAAATGAAAGAACACTTTAAACTATTCTTGACCATTTTATAAAAACGTGTAAGCTTTGTCATTGCTAAAATCATAGCAATGAATACTTCTAAGTAAACAAAAAATGATTTTCACAATTAAAAGAGTTACTTTTGGTCTAGGGCTACATACCTGGAGATCTGATCTTACTGGCATTTTGACTTCATTAAAAAAAAAAAAGCAGGACAAAATGAACACTATAAAAGAAAAGATATATTTTCTGTATCTCACAATCTGTTTCATGTGTTTAGCAGTTTAAAAATCTTACACACATAAATAAGCATTGTTATTTATACCAAAGGCAATAAATATTGTTTAACTTCCTCATTAAATATTTTTTACATGTTTATTAAAACATATTTGAATAGGATCAAAAAAGTTTCTACAGAAAAGCTTGAAGATCATTTATTCAAGTTCTTCCTTTTTATAGATTACTTAAATAAATGTAAAATATCCTGCCAAAGGGTCACAAAGATAGTTAATAAAAGCAGTGAAACCTAGATCTCCCTTTCCAATGATTCCCTGCTATACTTGTTCCACCTCTGAGAACAAAAATAAATAAATACATAAATAACTCTTGAATTAATGTCTAAATGAAATTTGGGCTATTAATATTCAAGAAAGGAGGAATGTGCAGATATACTAATAATCAACAGGATCAAATATGCAAGAAAAGGAGAAAAAGATAATCCAAACACATTTCATATGTCCAGGAGAGTGTTCAGGAAAGAACCAACCCCCAGTTTCTAGGTGAATGCTAAAATCAAGGTAAGGACATCACTTTCCCAAAGTTACGTGGGTCCTTAAAGACCATGGGGTTCAAATACAAATGACTGCCACAAATTAATATATCACAATATGGCTAACAGAAAGTATCCCCCAGGTTCTAAGGAGAGATTCCATGCTTATGAAAACACGACCAAAAGCAGATTAAATCATTTCAAACAATCCTATCTAGTGTGTTTCCGACAAGTGGGAAGATAAAGGTCATTTATACTCCCTGCCATGAACACCTAAGGAATTAACATTATTTTGGTCAAGAAAATACAAATCATTGCTGTAGTCATCCTCAAAACTCTGTATCCCTATTTTGTAGAATATGTGTAATTATTGCCCTGTCTTTTTTGGAACAAAGTACCAAAGGTCATTCTCAAAGCAACACTAAATAAGTAGTGGATGAATACATAACTACTAAGCTAAGTGGGTAAGGGAAGCTGTAATGTTTCATTTTAATCAGTCAGAGAAAGAGACAGAGAGACAGAGAGGCAGACAGAGACCCAGAATAAGTAGGAAAAACAGAAAACACAAAGTAAGGTGGTAGATTAAAAGTTACGTTACACATTGAAAGTAAAATATATGAAATACTCTGAAGAAGAAAGAATATGTCACCCTCGTAATATGCTGCTCTAGCATATTGACTATTTTAAATTAAGGGTACTCAACAAAAAACAGCAGGTACAAGACCACTCTGATCTTCATTCTGTTTCCTAAAAGCAGGAAATGAAATTCCTGTGTGAAAGAGGTCCTCCATATATATATATATGTTTGTTTTTTTTTCCCCAAAGTTGGGAAGTTAAAATCACCAAAATCTGTACAACCAAACTGTCAAATCAGCCTTATCTTCCTAGTCATTTCTCTACCTAATTAACTAACTTCCCTAGCCCGAAACCCCTTTGCCTTATCTTATTTCACAACTTACTATTCTTTGTCCAATTCATTACATAACTGACTGACCCTAACTGCTTCTTGGGGTATTCATTTTCTTATGAGGTCTTCTGTGTCATGTAAAACTTGCATTAAAGAAATCTGTAGCTTTTCTCCAGTTGATCTATGTCAATTTAACTCTAAAAGGGAAGAGGCAAAGTTCTGTCTTCCCTACAACTCCAATTAAAAGTCAGATCGTCCTCAAAGGATCAATGTTTGAAGGGACGTATACCCCCATTCTCCATGATGTGCTCATTTCACATTGCATGCTTATGTCAAAACATCTCATGTACTCTATAGACACCTACCATGTAAACACAAAAATTAAAGAGAAAAAAAGTTGGATTATCAGGTTAATCATTTTAAAAACCACATGCTGTCCAAAAATAGACTTTTAAGAGATATACCTTAAATAAAGGGCTATACAAAGTAGGAAATAAAAAGATAGAAAAGATATCTATCACACAAACAGTAACCAAAAGAAAGCTAATAAAACTATATTATTGTTGGATTAACCATAAAATCGCAACATAGATGGAACAAAAGAGAATCCAGAAACTGACTATACATATGACTTGATTTATGATAAAGGTAGAACACAAAGCAGTAAGGAAAGGATAAGATAATCTTTTCAATTAATTTATACTGTTCAACTGGATGTTCATAATACAACAAAACCTTACTACTTCATACTAACCATCTCATACTATATGCAAACACCATTTCCAGGTGGAATGAAATTGACATGTGAAAGCAAAATAATTAAGTTTTTGGAACATAATATGTTAGAACATCATGACCATGCAATAAGCAGGGATCCATTAAACAGATTATAAAAAGCTCTAACCATAAAAGAAGACTGGTAAGTTGGACAACCTTAAAATTTTAAACTCTTATTCAATGAGAACACATGCATACAGGGAGGGGAACACACTGGAGCCTGGTGGGATGGCAGGGGGCAGTGTATCAGGAAAAACAGCTAATGCATGTTGAGTTTAATATTTACAGGTTGATAGATGCAGCAAACTACCATGGCACACACATATTCTCCTATGTAACAAACCTGTGCATCCTGCACATGTACCCCAGAACTTAAAATAAGTTACTGATTTTCTCAATCCATGAGCATGGAATTTCTTTTTAAGACAGAGTTTTGTTCCTGTTGCCCAGGCTGGAGTGCAATGGCATGATCTCGGCTCACTGCAACCTCAGTCCCCTGGGTTCAAGCAACTCTCCTGCCTCAGCCTCCTGAGTAGCTGGGATTGCAGGCATGCACCACCATTCCCAGGTAATTTTGTATTTTTAGTAGAGACGAGGTTTCTTCATATTGGTCAGGCTGGTCTCAAACTCCCAACCTCAGGTGACCCGCCTGCCTCGGCCTCCCAAAGTGCTGGGATTACACGTGTGAGCCACCATGCCTGTCTGGGATTTCTTTAAAAAAAAGAAAGAACTCTTGTTGGAAAAACATCATTAAAGAGAATAACAAGGAAGGCAACACATATGAAGATATTTTTCTCTCGTACATTATTCATTTATGTGAATATTCACAACTGTTACTAAGTTATTCGGTTATCAATTAATGTAAACATACTCTTGGAAATATGAACTGAACAAAAAGGTCCTACTTTGGCACCACAGCCTATTTAATGTTATAGCCTCTGACCTTTCACCTTCAAAAGAATCTATAATTCTGAGCAGTTGCCTCACTTGTTAATGTATTGCCCTGGCAATAGGGTTATAATTGACATCTTTGATTCCTAAATGTTTTGAATACAAGATTTCTTCATCAAATAGAGGATTACTAGGACTACATCTTCTCCCAAATGCATGTAGGTATCATAATTTTTCAATCTGCTAGATTTCTTTTTTTTAAGAAAACCACAAGTTCATGAGTGTTCATTTAGATTAAGTGAAGCACATCAACACTGCCTGCTTTAAAACCTCACTAGCTTGTCAAAATCTCTCAGAGAACTGTGGAAATAGCTCTGAATTTATGTTTATTTGTTTATAGGCTCAAAATTCTTCCTCACCCCACCTCCTACTTTTTTTTTTTTTTTTTTTTTGAGACGGAGTTTTGCTCTTGTTGCCCAAGCTGGAGTGCAACGGCATGATCTCAGCTCACTGCAACCTCAGCCTCCCAGGTTCAAGGGATTCTCGTGCCTCAGCCTCCCAAGTAGCTAGGATTACAGGCTTGCACCACCACAACTGGCTCATTTTTTAAATTTTTAGTAGAGATGGGGTTTCTCCATGTTCGTCAGCCTGGTCTTGAACTCCTGACCTCAGGTGATCCACCTGCCTCAGCCTCCCAAAGTGCTGGGACTACAGGCGTGAGCCACAGTACCCGGCCCCACCTCCTAGTATTAAGGAAACAAACTTCAGAAGCAACAAAAGCAGCTTCCTCTCAGGAATCTGCTGGGAGAGTCTTCAGCCAAAACAAATATGGATTGAAGGAGGACCCTTCTGTAAAACAGGCTTCATAAATCTGAGAAATTCC